TCAAAAATCCATAAAATGTGACAATGCATGCAGTTCTTAACATCAAATCAGTAGACTTGGAACAAAAACCATTTCTCAAACAATTTACAATTTTCTCCAAAATTTCGAAAGTTATTGGTAATCTTATGTGATTTTTTGTTTTTTGCAGTCTTTTTACAGAATTTAAAACATAATCAAGCCTAATTAAAGGTGTATTATTAGCAGATTGCAAGGGATCATTATGATTACCCTGTACATACTTATACCTAATTCCACATAAATATAGTTTTATGGTAGAGTATTGTAAACTCAGAATTTTAAAGCAGTGGGCTATGAAATAAATTAAAATATCCTCAGAAATAGGAGGTAAACTAGTAAATTGAAAACCATTCAATAACATAAAAGTCTCAAACTTTCTAAACCCAGTATCATAAACAGTTCTTGTAGTATTAGCAATAGCACTGTTCCAAAGTTCATTCACTGCTTTATTTAAGACCACATTACATCTGAGCTGCTTGGGCACTTCATTGGATGTTGTGCTGCACTGGGAGCTAGTTTGCGGAATCTGTCTATCTGAAAACGAGATAGAGCATCACTTATGTCATTCTGATATCCTGGAACATGTTTCGCACTAAAATGAAAGTTGTATTTACAAGCACACCATGTAAGTTTCCTCATTAATTTCATTATTTGTAAACACTTTGAACGGCCCTTTTTTACTATAGCTACTGTAGCTTCATTGTCACACCAGAAAAGAATGCGTTTTGTTGTCCACTGTGAGCCCCACAGTATTGCAGATACTACAATAGGGTATAATTCAAGAAAAGCCATTGAAAATGTTTTGTCAGGATAAGCAATGTTTGATGGCCATGATGAATAAAACCATTCTCCTTTGAAATATCCACCAAATCCTTTCGTTGATGAGGCATCAGTGAAAAGTTCCATATAACTTGAGTTAAATTGTCTACTGTAAAACATGTTCACACCATTCCAGCTGCTCAGAAAAAGTAACCAAAATTCTAGGTCAACACGGCATTCCTTATCTAATTTAACATAATGATGCAAATCATTGACAGTAGTGGACAGCCCTATGAGGTATGAAACAAAGGATCTACCAGGTAAAATGACACGTGAAGCAAAGTTTAAGTGGCCCAAAAGCTGCAACAATTCCCTTTTTGTACATGATTTTTTCCTGTATAATTTTTTGATGAATTCACAAATGCGATTGACTTTATTAAGGGGCAGTCGAGCTTCCATTTTTTCAGAATCTAGAATAATACCCAAATATTCTAAACATTTTACAGGACCTATTGTCTTATGTTTAGCTATAGGAATGTTCAGTTTTTTGAAAATCATCATCATTATAGCCATGGTCCTCTCACCATCAGCATCTGGTGGATCTATGGTTAGAAAATCATCCAATAAATGCAAAATGCTATTAACTTTGTAATTGTTTTCTGCAATATGACACAAAGCTTGGGATAAATGGTCAAAAATTTTAGGGCTTGAACGACATCCAAAAGTTAAACGGACATAAAAATAATACATTTTTTCCCATTTTATGCAGAAAAGAGGCCACTGACTTGGTATAATAGGACAATTTTTAAACGCGTCGGATATGTCGAACTTGCAAAGCCAGGAATTTCTTCCAAATTTCAAAATAACATCAATGGCGTCATCTATTCTTACATAAGACATTGAGCAATCTTGTTTGTCAATAAGATCATTAATGCTTAGATGGTTGTCATCATTATGTGGTGAAGATAAGTCCAATATTAAGCGCTTTTTACCAGAATATTTCCCTTCTGCAATACCAATTGGGCTTACCCTATATTTTTGAAAAGGGGGATCCTTAAAAGGCCCATACAAGAAACCTTTAAAAACTTCTTTCTCTATCAACTCAGAAACCACATCTGGTTGTGTCCTAGCAGATAAACTATTCCTACATTCTTTTGTAGGTAAATCTGTTGTAGCTACCATAGTATCAAAACCTTTCTCTAAGCCATTGCATAAATAGTTAACAAATTTTTTGTCAGGATGAGATACTAATTCTTTTGCAAGTTTAATAACATTAATTGGAGTAGTTGCCAGATGTGGAAAATCATGTAGTCATTGACCTTGCTTATTTGTTGTTATTTTCTCAAACTTTAGTGGTGAAGAGTTAACTGTATGTGGCTTAGATTGTACTTCAGTCCTACCTTGAGAGGGAAAAACTTTTTGACAGGCTAATAGGGTATGACCAGCGACTTTACATCTACTACAGATATGTGAAAAATGACAAAAACTCCTGGTACAACCCCTACTGGTATTAAAATTATTGCACACCTCCCTCCCAGAATGATAAACCTTCTTTCTACCTAACTTATCAGTATTGTCTACCTGCCTTGATACTTTATCTGGGTAGTCTTGATACCCCATGGAGGTTTGCATAGGACAAAAAGCTGTAGTGTGATCAACCAAATTACAAATTTTGCAAACATTTACATTCCCACCAGCAACTATTAATGAAAGAAGATCCCTATCTCTTGCTCCAGTCAACCTTAATCCTTCTCTCCCTTAAAAGAGCTGCTGATTTTGCAGAAAACAATTTGTGGTAATCATAAAATCTATTACCATAAAAATTACTAATATCTATAATCTCATCTTCATAAGCATCCAGCTCTGCTCTACGATCAGGATAAGCTGATGACATAACCCTTTTAAACTTGCCAAATGCCTTAATGAATTCTTGAATTGTGAGTTTCCTATTTAGACGGGGATCTGGCTTCCCAGAGATATTTAATTCTAACCCATTAGCTGCAACAGAGTGAACTTGGGGACTTTCATAATTTGGGATAAGAAGAGATGCCAAATTAACATCCTTACCGTCAATGATTTGCTTCTGAATACTGTAAATTCAGAAATTATTGCGTGCATTTATTATTGCGATTTTGTCATTTTAGACTTAATTGCGATTTTAATTTTTACGATTTTGAGAAAAATCATGTTTAATTCATATAAAATATTTCAAAATGCGAGTTTAAATTATTGCGTTTACAACTCAGTCGCATTTTTCGCAATAATAAAAACCTCGCAATAATTTCTGAATTTACAGTAGATGGAGATATTATGTCCACATTAGAGTATTCATCAGAACGCACTCCACATGAAAAATTTCCAATTTGTGTTCCTGAGATGAAAGATGCATTCTGTGTATTTCCTTGTAAACTGTTGTTATTTCCCCTGTTAGAAGTGTAGGTTTCACTCCTATTTCCAATCCCTGCATGGTTATACCACTGTTGAAGGTTGAATTCGCGATCTCTACTCGTGTCATGAGTATTGTCTCTGTAAATTAACTGTTTGAAGGTCTCTTGAAGCCCTGCAAAACACTGAGCTATGTTTTGTGATTCTGCAGTCTTGTTCCTGTCTGTTCCACCATTCTCATTTTCGCCATTCGATACACTGCTTCTGTGTTGATGCACTGACTCTGCCAAGTTAATCGGAACAGTGTTCTCTGGTGAGGAATCTGTGTTAATCTCATCACTAACGTTCTCTGTCTGTTGTGTCTCTATAGGTGTTACTCCTTCAATACTATTCTCTATGTAAAGTTGTTTTAACACTTGTTTTGACATTCCAGTAGGTGTTCTTATTCCCTTTTTGTTAAGTTCTTCTTTCAGTTTGTGTATAGTCCAGTTAGATGGGTTATTAGAATCCCATTGGGTCTCATACGGAGAACTCCTAGTCTTCCTTCGCACACCTTTTCCTCTGCCAGACATTTTGTTGTCAGTTATTCCAATAATGTTTAAATTCTCCAGTTAAATTAGTCTGAATTATATTAAATTGTTTAAAAACTGTAATATAGCTTTAGTAAAGTAATCCAAACACTGAGAGTTCAAGTTTTTAGCTAAAACACTATTAGAGCCAAGATTAGTCTAATAACTGCTTAATCTGCATTTAAATAAATGGATACTCAAGGCAGCATACACAGGTTTTTAATACACAACTTCTTAATGGGATACTCCTATGTGGGAGGAGTTAAAACTGCACCCAGGTTAATGTATAAAGAACAAAGGACAAAGGAAGCCAAATGCCACAAGTGGTCACTAATTAACAAGACATGTATATTTGTATTGGAACTGATGTAATTAAACCTCCTGCTAAGAACATGTGATAAACTTCACATCTAACTGATTGAGATATGATAATAAATCTGTTTCATCTCAACAGTAAAGAAAACACACATCCTGGGAAAATCCTAAAATAATGACCACTGAGTGTAATGAAAATCAAACTATGTATAAACATTACTTATATAACATATAAGTACCTAAGGCTAAAACTACCAGCAGACTTCCTCCCCAAACCAAATTTGGCTGTCATGATAAAGCCATGAATGCTAAAATGTGGGTTTAAGCATCAACAAACAAACAAATGTTAAATATTTTTATGCCCCCGCTGTAGTAGAGGGGGCATTAAGTTTTACCCTTGTCCGTCTGTACGTCCGTACGTCCCGATATTGATTTCCGTTCTCTAACAAGTTTGCATCAACCAAATGTTATGAAACTCATACACAATGCTTATTACCACAAAACAAAGATCAAGTTTGAATTTGGGTGGTGTCTCTTTTACCTTCCAATAGTTATGCCCCTTTACAAATGGAAAAATTGCTGAAATTTTCGTTTGCGTTCTCTAATTTAAGTTTGCCTCAATCAAATGTTATGATTCTTATACACAGCGCTTATTACCACAAAACACAGATCAAATTTGAATTTTGGTGGCATCACTTTAACCGTTCTAGAGTTATGCCCCTTTACAAATGGAAAAATTGCTGAAATTTTCGTAACCGTTCTCTAATTTAAGTTTGCCTCAATAAAATATTATGAAACTTATACACAATGCTAATTACCACAAAAGCTCAGATCAAGTATGAATTTGGGTAGTGTCACTTTTATAGTTTTTTAGTTATGTCCCTTTATAACGTTACATGCAAGCGTGGGCATCATCTGTGTTTCCCCATTTATTGTTATATTTTATATTTTCAGGCTGGAATTCCAAAAGCTGTAAGACAGTTAGTAGGTAAACTAGCAGAATGTGGTTGGTTGTTTAAAAAGATAAAAAGTTATGTGGAGACCAAAACTGTTGATAAAACATTTGGTCTTGTTGGACAGGTAGGTTATGCTATTTGAATTAATCCTATAAACCTGTTTAATTTACCTTTATAATGGAAAAGAAAGAATATGGTGTATCAATTCTTGACACAAAATCATTACTCAAACTTACTAAAAACAGAAGCAAAGGGACAGCAATTCTATTGATTTTCTTCACCTCAAAGTTACAATGAGACCTTCAGCATTGAGCAAAAATTCAAACCTCACTGCAAGTTTATGACAGCCCCTAGTACCATTGAGATACATTGGTTTACACATTTTTCTGTGCATTACATTTATATCATATTTTCACCAAGCCTAAATACATGCAGTCAACTAGATTTTCCTGTTGATAGTCATTTATTAGGAAAATTTATAACCGTCAAGAGACATTTCATAATTCTGATTAAACAATCTCTTTGAGAATTTGAAGGCCAGATTTTTTCAAACTTCATAGAAATGAAAACTTGCACATATATAAAATTTCTACAAGGTGCATTTATTTATTTTGTTAGGTCAATGTTCAAATGCCTTGTCTAAACTACAAATCGAAACCAACAGAATATATGATCTCAAATGTTTTTACCGTGATCACATTATCAATATAGAAACACATGAATTCTTTCTGTAGCTTACAGTAAGTAATAGATCACTATATTTGATATATAGAATGAGTTTAAGAGATACAAGTCTACCTGACATGGGTGATCTTTCCTGGGTTTCATTTTCATGGATCATTGATAATGTTAAGTTTATGTGATACGAATAGTAAACCCTTGATCTAAAAACTTTCAACTTAAGATTCAATCAAATTCTGACAGTAAAGATGGCAAACCATTTCAGCATGTGCACTCTTGTTTTTTCATAAATAATTTACTCACAATTTTTGTGATTTACATTATAGAGCTTTTGTGCATCATTACATCAAGAACTTACAGAATACTACAGATTGATAGCTGTATTAGAATCACAGGTAGGTATTCTATCATTACATGAAGAACTTACAGAATACTACAGATTGATAGCTGTATTAGAATCACAGGTAGGTATTCTAACATTACATCAAGAACTTACAGAATACTACAGATTGATAGCTGTTTTAGAATGACAGGTATGTATTCTAACATTACATCAAGAACTTACAGAATACTACAGATTGATAGCTGTATTAGAATAACAGGTAGGTATTCTAACATTACAACAAGAACTTACAGAATACTACACATTGATAGCTGTTTTAGAATCACAGGTAGGTATTCTAACATTACATCAAGAACTTACAGAATACTACAGATTGATAGCTATATTAGAATCACAGGTAGGTATTCTAACATTACACCAAGAACTTTAATACAGAATACTACAGATTGATAGCTATATTAGAATCACAGGTAGGTATTCTAACATTACATCAAGAACTTACAGAATACTACAGATTGATAGCTGTTTTAGAATGACAGGTATGTATTCTAACATTACATCAAGAACTTACAGAATACTACAGATTGATAGCTGTATTAGAATAACAGGTAGGTATTCTAACATTACAACAAGAACTTACAGAATACTACACATTGATAGCTGTTTTAGAATCACAGGTAGGTATTCTAACATTACATCAAGAACTTACAGAATACTACAGATTGATAGCTATATTAGAATCACAGGTAGGTATTCTAACATTACACCAAGAACTTTAATACAGAATACTACAGATTGATAGCTATATTAGAATCACAGGTAGGTATTCTAACATTACATCAAGAACTTACAGAATACTACAGATTGATAGCTATATTAGAATCACAGGTAGGTATTCTAACATTACACCAAGAACTTTAATACAGAATACTACAGATTGATAGCTGTATTAGAATCACAGGTAGGTATTCTAACATTACACCAAGAACTTTAATACAGAATACTACAGATTGATAGCTATATTAGAATCACAGGTAGGTATTCTAACATTACATCAAGAACTTACAGAATACTACAGATTGATAGCTATATTAGAATCACAGGTAGGTATTCTAACATTACACCAAGAACTTTAATACAGAATACTACAGATTGATAGCTGTATTAGAATCACAGGTAGGTATTCTAACATTACATCAAGAACTTACAGAATACTACAGATTGATAGCTATATTATAATCACAGGTATGTATTCTAACATTACACGAAGAACTTACAGAATACTACAGATTGATAGCTGTATTAGAATCACAGGTAGGTATTCTAACATTACACGAAGAACTTACAGAATACTACAGATTGATAGCTGTATTAGAATAACAGGTAGGTATTCTAACATTACATCAAGAACTTACAGAATACTACAGATTGATAGCTGTATTATAATCACAGGTATGTATTCTAACATTACACGAAGAACTTACAGAATACTACAGATTGATAGCTGTATTAGAATCACAGGTAGGTATTCTAACATTACACTAAGAACTTTAATACAGAATACTACAGATTGATAGCTGTATTAGAATCACAGGTAGGTATTCTAACATTACACCAAGAACTTTAATACAGAATACTACAGATTGATAGCTATATTAGAATCACAGGTAGGTATTCTAACATTACATCAAGAACTTACAGAATACTACAGATTGATAGCTATATTAGAATCACAGGTAGGTATTCTAACATTACACCAAGAACTTTAATACAGAATACTACAGATTGATAGCTGTATTAGAATCACAGGTAGGTATTCTAACATTACATCAGGAACTTACAGAATACTACAGATTGATAGCTATATTAGAATCACAGGTAGGTATTCTAACATTACATCAAGAACTTACAGAATACTACAGATTGATAGCTATATTAGAATCACAGGTAGGTATTCTAACATTACACCAAGAACTTTAATACAGAATACTACAGATTGATAGCTGTATTAGAATCACAGGTAGGTATTCTAACATTACACCAAGAACTTTAATACAGAATACTACAGATTGATAGCTATATTAGAATCACAGGTAGGTATTCTAACATTACATCAAGAACTTACAGAATACTACAGATTGATAGCTATATTAGAATCACAGGTAGGTATTCTAACATTACACCAAGAACTTTAATACAGAATACTACAGATTGATAGCTGTATTAGAATCACAGGTAGGTATTCTAACATTACATCAGGAACTTACAGAATACTACAGATTGATAGCTGTATTAGAATCACAGGTAGGTATTCTAACATTACAACAAGAACTTACAGAATACTACAGATTGATAGCTGTATTAGAATCACAGGTAGGTATTCTAGCTGTATTAGAATCACAGGTAGGTATTTTAGCTGTTTTAGAATCACAGGTAGGTTTTCTAACATTTACATCATGAAATAGATTAAATCAAAGGGGAAAAAGTCAATGTTTTCAGCATATATACAGCAAGATTGAAACAAAGCTTGAGTATCTACCTATAAGGAACAGTTTATCTACCATTTTGATGAGTAATCTTAATAATAAATAAATTAAGCAAAATGATATCATTTTATCTAAGTGTTGGATTTTGTCAGTTTGTTCTCTGCATTGAGAATTCTGATAGATGTGGGGAAGGTTAACTTATACAAGGGAATATTACTGTGTGATATTTTTAATGACACATGTTCTTGTCATTTTCTGGTAAGGCAATGGATACACCAAATTATTGTCTTCCAGGTATTTTATAGGTAGGTCTTTTATAGACTAACAAAAAAAATGCTTTGCTTTTCTGCTTTTTCTTATCAAGCAATGAGTCTTATGATTTAAGGTTTTCTAATTATTTGCAAACAGAATTTATTGATCACGAAGTTAAAGTTGGATCTCTACTTATAATTAATGCTATATGTTTTATAGCTACACCAAGAATTGGACCAAGGAATAGGTCTTGGTTTCACTGGTCTCTCATTACGACAGCTGTTTGTTTGGACATTTGATCCCTTACACAGACTTAAAACTCTAGCAACCGTGGTGGATGGTTGCAAAGGTAAAATAGTAATATAACATTCTGTCATACTATTAGTGGTGGGGGTATCTATTTATAATTGATAATACAAAGTATGTTATTGAAGAGAGACATGAAGTAATTTTTCCACATTCCATGAAATACAAATACTTACACCATATCTTGACATGCTAATCTGTCAGGTATGAAACATAAATTTACAGTGGAAAATGGCAAACCTTAAAGTAATCATTCAGTTTAACTATGATTAGCGTGACTAAACCATTAAATGGAGTATAATACCTGCAAAACTGAATGATGTCTCTGTCTTAGTATAATTCATCTATCAGATGTTCTTCACATAATTTTTCCCTTGGTAGTTCATCATACATAAGATTATGCCATAAATTTTTCTTCAACATGTAAGAATTTAAGTCTTTGTTCACTATAGTATCATGATGTTACTACATGTGGTCAGTATTTCATACTTTTTAAACTTAAATAGGAACCTTAAAACTTCCATTAAAGATACATGGTACACAGGGATGGCACTTTCAAAATGTGGTTACCACCTATAGAGGTAAATTTAGAATTAAAATTACATTTTCACTATACTTGATACCCATTCATAGTTGAGATTTCAAAGTGACTTCCCTGGGTCCCATGTTTGTTTTTATGGAACAGCTCTTAAAATATTGACATAGGTTATATTTTTCAAAAACTTGTGATTTTTGGTAAGCTACATTGTATTTGCATTTATGATATATTTTAAGGTTCTTTTCAGGTAAAAAAGGTGGAGCTTTGTCATCTTCAGTTTATTCCTATATGTTACATGGAGATCCATTTATTGCATCACTCATTAAACATATTTTAACCATGGTAAGTGTAAAGCTTCTTTGGTCATTTGATGTTGGCATTTATTTTTGGGTTACTTGTGTACAGAGATAATGTTATTTTACATAATTTTATCGCATCTTGAAAGCTTTTGATACATTGATTTAGTTTCTATAATCGTTGTTGCCAAAAATAATATTTTGTTCTTTTTATTCTAAATTAAGAATATTTGTTCTTCATTTTTCTGAAATACTTGAAGTAAATATCTTGAAAAATCAGAACACATGGAGTCTGTTTTGTTTCATGTCAGCTTGTTTTGAACGGTACCCTATTTCAACATCACAGATAATAACTTACAAAAGTCACACAACTTGAAAACATTGGTTAACATTTAAAGATAATAAATCTACAGATCCTATTTACTAGATCAAGAAATCATGATTTTGCTTGCAAACTGTTTGAAAGACTGTTCATCATCTTGCTTTTTATGTTCGTCTATTTACTTTATGATGACCGTCCATTGATTTCCTTAAAAAGGTTGTGTTGTCTAACTTGGCTGCATTGATATCTGATAAAAACAGGCAGCATGTAGGAGAAAGAGCAAAGAGTGGTCGACTAACAATCTGAACAATGTGTTTCGGGTAGTGTGCCATGTCTTTCTGTGGACTTCTAGCACTTTAAGAATGATGGTCAGCCTGTTGGTCTAGTACTCAGCAGGGTTAATATTCATGTCACACTAACATTTTCTCATCCTGAATATGCATTTAAATCCTGCTTGACATTATTCAGCCATTCATAATCTTCATCTCCATGCTGTATTCATCCACCTTTTGCTTTATTATTAATTATTTTATCCAACATTGCAAGTGTGTCCCTTAGTATTTTTTATGCCCCACCTACGATAGTGATCAATGGTTAAAAAATGTATGAATTATATCTGATGTTTATATTTGTAGGTTGCCCAGCCAATTTACTGTACACTTGTAAGGTGGATATATGATGGTGAATTAGAAGATACTCATGATGAGGTAAATAGATTATCTATTGTAAAAAAAATACACAAATCTATATATACATGTATCAACCAGGGCTTCCAAAACAGTTGTATTGTCCGGACTTGACCATTATTTTTTAATTGTTTTGATGAGCCCGAAATGGACATATATCGTGGGTTTTCCATTCTAACATAATTCAGAAAAAAAATGAAGTTTATGTGATCTTTTTGATCTGACCTTTTGCCTTAAACAATGACACATTTCCGGTCATAAAAGTGGCATGATGAATAAGTACTATCAGAACAAACCCTACTTTAATACCTTCTAATTACAATCGAGGTTAATTAGTTGTCTGACAGCTAAAATTTACCTGTTCAGGTGATAGGTAAACTATTTTGTTCCAGACATTGATCGGTCTATTTAAAGTTATTTTCTTAAATTTCAGCGGTTTGTGTCTGATTAATTTAGGCAAAATGATTAACATTATCAGAAATGCATATATAAATATGATTTGATGAAATATTTAAAAATGAAGTAATAAGGGCTATTCCATTAAAATGTATGTGGGAGGGTAGGAAGGGAAGTTTAATTATTGAATGTGGGTTGTGGGTCTTTTTTCAGTATGCGTCTATTACCATTATGCAAAATTATCTAAAAATGGTTCTTGGTTGTAGGGATATTTTGAAAGTCCCTTCCTACCCTCCCACATATATTTTAATGGAATAGCCTTAAAGGTTTTTAGCGAAAAATCGTCAGAACCACGGTGTTTGAACACGTACATGTGTGCACAGGTGTGATATTTAATTATGCATCCGAATTCTCAAAAATGCTAAAATTATCATTGATACCTTTATCTAATGTTCATTTCGAGTATTCTTAAAGAAATTACGTGGAAAGAGCTACTTAAACTCTATCATGCTTTGTAAACGTACACGGATTTTACCCATCCATCTCTGGTCCGTGTTCTACCATTGTCAAGTCAACATCCGTTATTAGGAAATTGTACTTTTTATATCGAAAATAAAGTTTTTGACAGTGTAATTTTGCACAAATAGAGAGTCTAAAGCAGATATTAGTATGCAGGTGTTGCACACTTCAAATAATGTGCTGTCAATAAAACAGTTAAAGTTCAATAATCAAATTTATATCAAAAGTCAAATTTAATATCATTTTTATGTCAATCATTGTTTATATGATGCTCAACTGATTACCATGATTGCCTTTTGTTACTAAGTCTTAATGGATTAAAATCAAGATAAGATTAAAAAAAAAAAAAGTGAGACTGGCTGAAATATTTTTTGGAAGCCCTGGTATCAACCCTATGAATTCATATAATTCATAGTTTCAAAACATATTTTTCTCATGTTTCAAGGAGTGCTGTTAAAAACAATTGCTTTGTTTATCTTGGTTTTATTGAAACATCTTCAATGTCTTAATTTTTTGAATGCTAGATTTTTGTCTCGCCTTGACGGAGTCAAAAAGCGAGACATAGGTATGCTGTTTCCTGCGGCGGCAGCAGCGGCGGCGTGAACAATGTATTAGTTTGTGATTAGGTCTAGGTCATGGTGAACCACTAGTGGTAGGTCAATGATATTTGGTATGCAGTTGTATTAGCATTGGCACATCTCATTACCATGGAGATTATTTGGCCCCGCCCCCTCAGTCAAGGTCTATTGACTTTGAAACTTTTCATAGTTTACATGTATTAGTTTGTGATTAGGTCAATTTATGGGGAACCACTAGTGGTAGGTCAATGATATTTGGTATGCAGTTGTATAAGCATTGGCATATCTCATTTCCATGGAGATTATTTGGCTCCGCCCCCTTAGTCATGGTCTATAGACTTTGAAAATTTTGCTAAGTTAACATGTATTAGTATGTGATTAGGTCAGTTCAAGGGGAACCATTAGTGGAAGGCCAATGTTGATTGGTGTTCAGTTGTATAAGCATTAGCACATCTCATTTCCATGGAGAATATTTGGCCCTGCCCCCTCAGTCATGGTCTATTGACTTTGAAACTTTTGCTTAGTTTACATGTATTAGTTTGTGATTAAATCAGTTTAAGATGAACTGCTAATGTTAAGTCAATGATATTTGGTATGCAAATGCATTGGCATTTGCAAGTGTCGTTTCCATGGAGATTATATAGCCCCACCCCTGGTTCATTGACTTTGGAACTTTTACATAGTTTACAAGTTAATGTTTGTGTTTAGGTTTGTTTAAAGGGAACGACTTATAATAAGTCAATGGTATTTGGTATGCAGTTGTATTAGCATTGGCACATCTCATTCCATGGAGATTGTTTAGCCATGTACCTTCAGTCATGGTTCATTGACTTTGAATATTTGCATAACTTACATGTTAAAGTATTGCTATTTTAATTTCAACATTTGCATTATCAAAATTACAAAAAGGCGAGACATATCTCTGTGATAACAGTTTATTAAAAGGAGTTGCACATGTTAAGTAGAAAAAAGCTTGTCATATATTGATGGATGTAATACTTTTTTTCCAGTTCTTTGTAGCCTCTGACCCTACCGTGAAGAATGACAGACTATGGCATGATAAATACAGTCTGAGGAAATCAATGATTCCTAACTTTGTAACTACAGACCAAGCCAGAAGGGTATGAACACTCTGAATTTTGTACACTAACTTCAAAGGAAGGGATAAATATTTTGTTTCTGTTCTCTTGTATGTAATACATTTCTGTTGCATTTTCTTGGCAACTAAAAATCATAGCTTCTTGATATATATATTACACCAGTGAAGTTTCATCTAGTTGTTCCTTAACACGTAACACACTCTTCTTTAGATTTTCTACCTCATGTTGAAACATTTATCTTTATAACATTGTGCTCATATATATTTAAATTTCTGTAAGATTTTTCTCAACATATACATGTAGCATCTTGATTTATGGCACTAGCTTCACCTTTTTATGCTCTACTGGATGACATGTTTTTAGTTCCTTGGATTTTTTACTTCCTGTTTGTCAAAAACATATATCTTTAAAATGTTGTTCACATATATGAATTTTTTGTCATATTCTTCTAAGCAACTGCAAGTCATACCTTCTTGATTACGTGAGGGTATAATTAGGGAGATCACAGTGTATTTTGTTCATCTTAATCTCAGTTAGAGGTAGGTGTGATGCAATTTCATTTTAAGAATAGGACATATATTACAGGAGTTTTGATATGTCCCAAAATTGGTTTCCTTTCTCTAAGTTTAGTTTGCCTCAACCAAATGTTATGAAACTTATACACAGTGCTTATTACCACAAAACACAGATCAAGTTCGAATTTGGGATGCGTCACTTTTACCGTTCTAGAGTTATGCCCCTTTATAAATGGAAAAATTGCAGTTCACTAGTGTCCCTTTATAACGTTAAATGCAAGCGGGGGCATCTCCATTTATTTATAGATTAAATAATGTAAGAAAATGTAATGATTTCTTTCTTTCAGATCCTGCTGACTGGAAAATCAATTAATTATCTACGCCAAGTATGTAAAGACACAGCTCCTATTAAAGGGAGAGAAAAAAGTATTGAAATAGACAGAAATAATGGTATGGTACAGCGTATTTGACATGCTTTTGAATTTGGATATGAATCATTTGGTAGATTTGTTTGTTCACTTACCTCAAGTTTCTTTAAATGTACTCTCAGCACAACTTATGTGTCAGAAAATAGAGAAAAAAGAATGATTAGTTTTTTGCTGAAATAGAGTTTTGGCTTATTTGCAGCTGTTTAGAGCTATTACTGTTAAATATATAGCTCACCCCAACAGTGAAATGATAATTTATTTCAGCCTGAAAAAAGTGTTTTTATTTTATTAAATGTTGACAATTGTAAACATACCACACTAAAAGTTTGGACAATAAGAAATAACTATAGTATTGGGGTGAATAAAGTAATGACTTACAGCTTGAAAATGGACGATAAGAAATAACTGTAGTATTGGGGTGAATAAGGTAATGACTTACAGCTTGAGAATGGACAATAAGAAATAACTGTAGTATTGTGGTGAATAAGGTAATGACTTACAGCTTGAGAATGGACAATAAGAAATAACTAGAGTATTGGGGTGAATAAGGTAATGACTTACAGCTTGAAAATGGACGATAAGAAATAACTGTAGTATTGGGGTGAATAAGGTAATGACTTACAGCTTGAAAATGGACGATAAGAAATAACTGTAGTATTGGGGTGAATAAGGTCATGACTTACAGCTTGAGAATGGACAATAAGAAATAACTATAGTATTGGGGTGATTAAGGTAATGACTTACAGCTTGAGAATGGACAATAAGAAATAACTAGAGTATTGGGGTGAATAAGGTAATGACTTACAGCTTGAGAATGGACAATAAGAAATAACTATAGTATTGGGGTGAATAAGGTAATGACTTACAGCTTGAGAATGGACAATAAGAAATAACTAGAGTATTGGGGTGAATAAGGTAATGACTTACAGCTTGAGAATGGACGATAAGAAATAACTATAGTATTGGGGTGAATAAGGTAATGACTTACAGCTTGAGAATGGACGATAAGAAATAACTAGAGTATTGGGGTGAATAAGGTAATGACTTACAGCTTGAGAATGGACGATAAGAAATAACAGTAGTATTGGGGTGAATAAGGTAATGACTAACAGCTTGAGAATGGACGATAAGAAATAACTATAGTATTGGGGTGAATAAGGTAATGACTTACAGCTTGAGAATGGACAATAAGAAATAACTGTAGTATTGGGGTGAATAAGGTAATGACTTTCAGCTTGAGAATGGACAATAAGAAATAACTATAGTATTGGGGTGAATAAGGTAATGACTTACAGCTTGAGAATGGACAATAAGAAATAACTAGAGTATTGGGGTGAATAAGGTAATGACTTACAGCTTGAGAATGGACGATAAGAAATAAATGTAGTATTGGGGTGAATAAGGTAATGACTTACAGCTTGAGAATGGACAATAAGAAATAACAGTAGTATTGGGGTGAATAAGGTAATGACTTACAGCTTGAGAATGGACAATAAGAAATAACTGTAGTATTGGGGTGAATAAGGTAATGACTTACAGCTCGAGAATGGACGATAAGAAATAACTATAGTATTGGGGTGAATAAGGTAATGACTTACAGCTTGAGAATGGACAATAAGAAATAACTATAGTATTGGGGTGAATAAGGTAATGACTTACAGCTTGAGAATGGACAATAAGAAATAACTATAGTATTGGGGTGAATAAGGTAATGACTTACAGCTTGAGAATGGACAATAAGAAATAACTAGAGTATTGGGGTGAATAAGGTAATGACTTACAGCTTGAAAATGGACGATAAGAAATAACTGTAGTATTGGGGTGAATAAGGTAATGACTTACAGCTTGAGAATGGACAATAAGAAATAACTGTAGTATTGGGGTGAATAAGGTAATGACTTACAGCTTGAGAATGGACAATAAGAAATAACTAGAGTATTGGGGTGAATAAGGTAATGACTTACAGCTTGAGAATGGACGATAAGAAATAAATGTAGTATTGGGGTGAATAAGGTAATGACTTACAGCTTGAGAATGGACAATAAGAAATAACTGTAGTATTGGGGTGAATAAGGTAATGACTTACAGCTTGAAAATGGACGATAAGAAATAACTGTAGTATTGGGGTGAATAAGGTAATGACTTACAGCTTGAGAATGGACAATAAGAAATAACTGTAGTATTGGGGTGAATAAGGTAATGACTTACAGCTTGAGAATGGACAATAAGAAATAACTAGAGTATTGGGGTGAATAAGGTAATGACTTACAGCTTGAGAATGGACGATAAGAAATAAATGTAGTATTGGGGTGAATAAGGTAATGACTTACAGCTTGAGAATGGACAATAAGAAATAACAGTAGTATTGGGGTGAATAAGGTAATGACTTACAGCTTGAGAATGGACAATAAGAAATAACTGTAGTATTGGGGTGAATAAGGTAATGACTTACAGCTCGAGAATGGACGATAAGAAATAACTATAGTATTGGGGTGAATAAGGTAATGACTTACAGCTTGAGAATGGACAATAAGAAATAACTATAGTATTGGGGTGAATAAGGTAATGACTTACAGCTTGAGAATGGACAATAAGAAATAACTATAGTATTGGGGTGAATAAGGTAATGACTTACAGCTTGAGAATGGACGATAAGAAATAACTAGAGTATTGGGGTGAATAAGGTAATGACTTACAGCTTGAGAATGGACAATAAGAAATAACTAGAGTATTGGGGTGAATAAGGTAATGACTTACAGCTTGAGAATGGACAATAAGAAATAACTATAGTATTGGGGTGAATAAGGTAATGACTTACAGCTTGAGAATGGACAATAAGAAATAACTAGAGTATTGGGGTGAATAAGGTAATGACTTACAGCTTGAGAATGGACAATAAGAAATAACTAGAGTATTGGGGTGAATAAGGTAATGACTTACAGCTTGAGAATGGACAATAAGAAATAACTATAGTATTGGGGTGAATAAGGTAATGACTTACAGCTTGAGAACCTGTTTGTGAATGATGATTATTTCAAAATAAATATTTATTTACAGCCTATGTTATGTTCATGCAAGATACAACCACAGAGTTCCAGAATATAATTGATGAGGCTTACAAAGATACTAGTCTTCATCTTCTAGATGTTTTACATGAAAAATATAAATTCTTAGATCACTTGAAGGTAAGTTAAGAGTTTGTATGATGTTGGTTAGCATATTACGATTCTGTATTATCCGGTGAAAAACCTATGTATAATGTATTCACAAAGTTTGTTTTTTACCTGCTGGTCCAAAGGTGGAAGCAGATCTAGTAACCACTTGACTCTATCTGTCTGTCTGTCCGTCAGAAAACTTTTGTCAAAGTTTGTCAAAAGGTTTCTATGACGGGGAATAATATAATATTTGGTCTGCAGCCTTACAAATTTGAGTTGTAGTGAGTAAGCAATTTCTACATACTGTGGATTCATTTATTTTCGTGGGTACCAATTTTCGTGGATTGAGGAAAACTTGCATTTTTGTGGATACTTTGATTTTGTGGTTTTGCCAAAGTCTGCATACAATCTTATAGAAAATTTGTAATTCGTTGAACATTTAAATTCATGGTTTACCTGTACCCAAGAAATCCATGAAAATTGGTACCCAATGAATAATAAGAATCCACAGTATGCCAAAGTGATTGGAGCTGTGGAGTAGGAAGAAAAATGGTAACTTCAGGGTTGTTAATTATATGTCAGATTTAAAAACAAAAACAAAAAGTCTTTTTTACAAGCATTTTTTATTTATTTTTAAAAGTAAAAGTTCACCTATTTTTACATTGTAATTTTAAAAATTGTGTAGTTACATGATTTACATACTTAGACCTGTAATGTTTTTCCTGTTTCAACTAGGCAATGAGAAGATACCTTCTTCTGGGCCAAGGTGACTTCATAAGACATTTAATGGATTTATTAGAGTAAGTTTTTCAAGTGTAGAGCATAAAAATCATTATATTAGATGCTAGAAAATGCATCACATATGTCATTTACATAATGCTGAAAATTTGCTGCTTTTTATATTTGTTTTTGTACTATAAAACTGATTTTCATAGAAATAGACCTACAAATAAGTTAAATTTCAAAGATAGCGGAAAGTTCCCATAGAACATAAATTGGGAGTTGCATAAGACCAAGAAAAAAAATATGTTGCATTTCCTGTTACTATCCTGAAAGAAGTAAGGGTTGACCAAATCTTTTTTGCACAACTCATTAAAGGAATAGAAGCATTATATAATTTAAATCGCAAAAATAGTTAGGAAGTTGATCTTTGTGAATGTATTTCCATTACTTAAGACTATTTTGGAAGCTGATTCATCCTTTTAAAGGGTCGTCTATGGCCGAGTGGTCTAATTTGTTTAATATACAGTTGTCACTAACCAATCAACTCTGAGTTTGTGAGTTGGAACCTACGTTAAGGTGTGTTAGCTCCAAACTTTATTGCAAGGATTTCCTACTGAAATCAGTGGTTTTTGTCTCACCTTGGCGGAGTCAAAAAGCGAGACATAGGTATGCTGTTTCCGGTGGCGGCGGCAGCGTCAACAATGTATTAGTGTGTGATTAGGTCTAGTTCATGGTGAACCACTAGTGTTAGGTCAATGATATTTGGTATGCAGTTGTATTAGCATTGGCACATCTCATTACCATGGAGATTATTTGGCCCCGCCCCCTCAGTCAAGGTCTATTGACTTTGAAACTTTTCATAGTTTACATGTATTAGTTTGTGATTAGGTCAATTTATGGGGAACCACTAGTGGTAGGTCAATGATATTTGGTATGCAGTTGTATAAGCATTGGCATATCTCATTACCATGGAGATTATTTGGCCCCGCCCCCTCAGTCAAGGTCTATTGACTTTGAAACTTTTCATAGTTTACATGTATTAGTTTGTAATTAGGTCAATTTATGGGGAACCATTAGTGGTAGGTCAATGTTAATTGGTGTTCAGTTGTATAAGCATTGGCATATCTCATTACCATGGAGATTACTTGGCCACCCCTGATCATGGTTCATTGATTTTGAAACTTTTACATAGTTTTACAAGTTAATGTTTGTGTTTAGGTTTGTTTAAAGGGAACGACTTATAATAAGTCAATGGTTTTTGGTATGCAGTTGAATTAGCATTGGCACATCTCATTCCATGGAGATTGTTTAGCCATGTACCTTCAGTCATGGTTCATCGACTTTGAATATTTACATAACTTACATGTTAAAGTGTTGCTATTTTATAATTTCAACATTTGCATTATCAAAATTACAAAAAGGTGAGACATATCCAGGGCTTCCAAAACGGTCATATATTCCGGACTTGACCGAAACTTTCATAAAAAGACCGGCTGCTCTCAGCCTCAAACGGTCAAATAGAATTGGTGTGCCACATTTTGTTAATCAAGGCATTTTCATGAAACGGTCATTTCAATTTTTACCAACTACCGATCGATAAAAATGTCCGTTTGGGGCTTTGGGCATGTCCGTTTGGGCATTTTAGTTTATAATTGTGGTAATCTATTTCACAAAGATATTTCGGTCATAATTGGGTTTAATAAAACAGAAGCAGCATATTTCAGATACTTTGAAGTGTCTCAGTTAGTCTAATCCTCTGGTTACATAAATGTACGGCTTGGTCTTTAGCTTGTGTACATCAATAAAAAGTAGAAAAAACACGTTTTCTTTTATTTAAATAACAATAAGCTGTCAAACAATTATCCCTTCAATAAGTTATATTGAAGCCATAAATCATTCACTGATTACAGGTTTGTTACCTTTGATGAGGTGTCCTTAGCTTGTCTTTATCAATAGAATTAATGATGCATAACAATAAAGGTAATCAGGTAAACGAGGTCAAACATGTAAGTGTGTATGGAACAACATCCTATTTAATTAGGCTTTATAGATATTATTTCAAATGAGCATTCAGTTTAAAAAAGTATCCTGATATTTAAAAGTTATTCTTCAAATAAGGATATTTATAAATGAATAAGTATGATATATATTATTTTATTTAACACTGTACATGGTGTTAAATACTGGGGTACTCTCAAGGGGAAAATTTACTAAAATATATAGGAAAAACACCGAGAATAGCTTCGCTTGGGTATACCAAGCTGAGTTGTCCAATAAATAAGGGGGGCGTTCTCTATTCTTGTTTTCATATTAAAAACTGTTTTTATAATTAAAATCATAAAGAATAATATCCAATCATGACAATCTCCGACTGTTATAAAGACTTTGTCTCAAATTGAACTTTACAAATCTGCCATCATGGGCAAACGTAAACGTGACGATTCCGATCAAAATTCGAAATCTGCTAAAAATGCTAGAAGCTTTATTCATAAATGGTTACAACTGTTTTTATGGTTAAGATTTGACAGTATGCTAAATGCCATGTTTTGTGACATTTGTCAAAAACATAAACTTAAAAATAACTTTGTAAAGCCAAATTTTCGAAAGTCAGCCGTTGTAGAGCATGCTAATAGCAATGACCACATTCAAGCTCTTAAATTAGAGACAGCTTCCAAAAGTAATCCATTTGTATCCGTATTTGAGAAAGTTCATGAAAAGACTGACAACGCAATGTGCACCTTGTTCCGTAATGCTTACTTTATTGCTAAAGAAAACTTACCAATGGACAAATTTCAGTCAATAAATGATTTAACTAAGTTAAATGGTGCCGTGATCACTTCTAAATTATATCAAGAGAACAATGCCTGCTCCGAATTTATTCAGACAATTTCCGATGTTATAGAGAAAGATGTGATGTCCGACGTAAAGTTAAGTCCCGCCGTGGGAATTATGATCGACGAGTCAACTGATCTGGCTACGCAAAACATTTAATTTTGATCAACTTATGAGGATAAGCTTAGTAGGTGTAGATGTTAAAGACTTTGACCCTGTTCCTGCTATCCGCAAATGGCAATCCGTTCGTAACCGCCATGTTTATCAGAACAATGCATTTAGCAAGCTCATGAATGTAAAATCTTAAATTAGACTAAATGAACTCTAATCTTGTGCTGTGATCTGTGCTTCTTTTCAATGTGCTCATTGTAATATTTATTGCGTGTGTTTGTCAACATTGTGCTCTTCTGATAGTTTATTGTTGTTATATGCTTACATAAAATATCATGTTGTTATTCATTAAATTATTTATCAACTGAGTATGTTTTTATTTATTCCTTATTTCTAAATCAGGTTGGGAAATTGTACAAAGAAAAATGTTATCACTGTTCAGTAGATTTTACACGGTTTAAAACAATATCCTTCATTGGGCCTCCTCAATGTTATCTATAAATACCGCATCAGTTGTAAAAGTCACGTGGTCAGGTAATCAATACACAAAAAGAAAAGTATCACGTGTATTGATGATCAAGTTGTACTGCAATTAAAGCCAACATCAACAGTTTCAAATAAGATGGCCTTAATTTACAAAGTGTTAAGTACTCACAGAGAGAAGATAGATTATATAAACAGAAACAAAAACATGAGAACAGTCAGGTACTGAAGCTGATTGATGCAATGATGGTTACTGTACTACGATACACAGAAAAATGACACAATACCGAGGATAATATTTTATTTATTTTTAGAATGAAGAAAACAAAACAGTTATAAATAATTTTATTGCATATAACACTACTAATTATTTAGACACATATATTAATTTATGCATCCTCTCAGTTACATTTAAGTATCCAGCTGATCACTGACCGTCAAAAATATTTCTTTGAAAAATGTCCGGCTGTCGTCAGGAAATTTTGGAAGCCCTGGACATATCTCTGTGATAACAGTTTATTTCCAGGTATTATGGCTTCTGGCATAAATAAAAACTGGCCCCTGTGATATAGTATAGTTGTTTATAAAACCAACAATTAATCAATCGTTCTAATACAATGTTTCGACATCAAATTCTTTATGTAAAATACAAGTGAAGGTGAAATGAGATGGTTTGGGTTTATACTTGAAACAGGTTTTTTTTTGCCTATCTTATGCCTAACTTATGTTTTCTGATTAACCAGTCCATTTCTGGAAAATTTTGTTACATTTAATTTAGTGTGTGAAGCAAACAAATTTCATGTAATATTATGTTTTCAGAGAAGATTTAGCTAAGCCAGCAGGTAACTTATATCTACACAACTTAACAGGAATACTAGAGACAGCAATCAGAGCCACAAATGCTCAGTTTGATGATTCTGATATTCTGAAGAGACTTGATGTTCGCTTGTTGGAGGTTTGTTTAGAAAAATATGATGTATTGCAATACTTTGTTGTTTTTATACGCCCATTTACGGGACGTATTATGGTATACCGTTGTCCGTCCGTAGTCGACATGTCAGACAATAACTCAAAAATGCCAAACCAATTTGCATGAAATTTTGGTGAATTTTTTATATCGCTTGACGTGAGCTCCCTTTCGATTTTTATAAATTTTAGATTTTACGTTTCCAAGTTATGGGATTTTATTTATTAAAAAAGGGGGATTTAACAGTTTTCGGACAATAACTCAAAAACACTTTCACCAATTTGCAAGAAACTTTATCAAATTGTTTATATCTATTGACATAAGCTCCCTTTTGATTTTTATGAATTTTAGAGTTTTCATTTCCGAGTTATGGGATTTTATTCATAAAAAAGGGGTAATTTTCCAGTTTTCGGATGATAACTCTTTAAGTTTTTTGAGCAGTTTTCATGAAACTTTGGTGACTGGTTTATATCTATTAAAATAACCTCCTTTTAGTTTTTTTATAAATTTCTGACACTGAGGAGTTATGGAACTTTATTCTTTGAAAAAGCAAAGGATATATCATGCGCTCATGGTGCAGCTCTTTATTATTTGTAATTCCACACATTTCTATAGTACATATTGAAATAAATCTTTTGAGTTATTTGACAGCGATGTTTTTTGTTAACTGAGTATTTTCAATGAAAATGTAGAATTGTATTGTGAAATTTATTTTTTTCTTGGACGTTAATTATAATGTTTTAAATGTTTAATGCTTTATGGATTGTTTAACTTCAGGTTTACCCTAAGATATATAGAACAATTGGATCCATTAGGCTATGTACACGTTTTTGTTTAACAAATATTTACACAATAAAGGACTAAATTATGAAATATTTATTAGAATTTTTATAAATATTTTTTGCATTATTATGATGATAATTATTGTAGGTATCCCCAGGAGATACAGGCTGGGATGTTTTCAGTTTAGATTATCATGTTGATGGTCCTATTAGAACTGTAAGTAAGATGTACACTTAGGACACTATATAAGTAGTCAGATGAATTAGAAGATTAGTTTTATTAATGTTGATTCCCTAGCTAATTAATATGGCATTTTTCAATAAAATAATGTAATAAAGTTTTTGTAGTTTTTGTATCATAATGATATGAAATAAATAAGAATTATATAAATTTTAAAAATTTATATTTCACCTGAATTTGAAACACATTGATTTTGAATTTTATTTGCTAACATGATTATTAACTTTTTAATATATAAATTATAAAATCATAAAATCAAACAAGAAATAGCATGCTTCTGTTATGACTGCAATATTTAATTTTTTATTAACTAGAAATTAATTGCATTTTAAATCTTTTCACATCATACTTAATGAAACAGACATGTTTTTTTCTATTTAATTCTGCTGATCATTTATTGCAAAACTTGAGAAGTTTACAGAAAATCCTGTAGAAAGAATGTGTAATTAAAAAACTGAATCTGTTTTCTATTTGACTTAGGTTTTTACTCCAGAATGCATCATCATGTATTTACGTGTGTTCAACTTTCTATGGAGAGCTAAAAGGATGGAATATATTCTTGCCATGATCTGGAAAAACCAAATATCAAATGCTCGTATGCTCAGAGCCATACCAGGTAAATAATTCTCACTTTGAGTAATAGGACATATATTTGGTATATGGGACTCTTGGCTGGTCAACATGTCTGTCAGACAGGATTCACCTGACCTTGGCCTCATTTCATAGATCAATGATCTGGGTTATGTTTCTGTGATAAGGTTTGTTTCTCAGATATTTTAAGCAGTAGGTGAACTATATTTGGGGATTGGAATGCTTGAAAGGTGTACATGTCTATCTGGCAGGTTTCTTCTGAACTTCACCTCATGTTCATGGTTCATTGGTCAATGTTAAGATTTCGTGCTTATGTCTGTTTCTCATACTTTAAGCAAGATGTTAAATACATTTGGTGTATGATAGATTATAAGGTGTACATGTCCATTTGACCTTGATTACATGGATCATTGATAATGTTGAGTTTATATGATTATAAGACTTTTTACATAAATTAAAAATGATATAAAATTAGATGTGCTGTCAACCATGAAATGTGATATTTATTACTGTATACATAGCAAAATATATTTTGTGGGTGATATAACCTTCATTTTACTAAATTGTGATCACTCGTAAGCATTTGGTTAAAGTTCAGATTTATAGTAGAATTTGTAAAATAAATATCAAACTTTATCCAAGAATGTGACAAGTAGGGGACTACATATAATTTATATAAAAATGGATGGTATGATCTGTATTTCAAGATTCCATATCACAGTTGAATTGTGGTTTAAGTTCATACTTAAGGTGTTTTTTTATAAAGTACCAAGTGTTTAAACAATGTAATCTATGGACATTTCAAGATGGAAACTTATATTAACTGTAAAAATAAACAAGTGATCTACTGTCATGCCACTGTCAACAGTTAAAGTCCCCTTTTTTTAATTAGTTTATTTGTGACCATTGTATTCTTTTATAGATAACACCTTTTTATTTTTCATAGAATTGACGGGTATTCTGCATCAATGCCATGTTTTAGCTGCAGAAATGGTCCATTTTATACAACAAGTACAGTATTATATTAATTTTGAAGTAAGTACATTTTACTTTTGAACAATTTTACTGAATTAAAAAGTTTAGTAACTTCCAAGTTATTGTATTACCAACAAAAGACCATGGCCTCAGTTTCATGCTTTAGTGGCTAGTATGATTACTTTGGTTTGTTTGTAGGTAAATATACACGAAGCTTACCAAAATTCTGAATTTAGTTGCTTGTAAGGAGTTTATGTTGTCGATAAGAATATCTTTAATACTTTTAAAGCTGAATTGAAATATCTAGAGAGGTCTAGATATATATCATATCAATTTTTCTTCATATACATATGTATAGGTTCTTTATTATTTGTTCAATGACTATGTTGACTAGGAGGGAAAATAGTTAAATTTTCTGTAGAGATAATCTTAACTACTCAGTCTCACAGTAAAGTCCAAATACTTTGAAATATTTTTGAATAGTGAAATGTTTGAATAAATAAAAACATTAAACACATATATATAATTAAAAGTAGGAATAAACAGTAATACAGTCGACTCCACTTAATTGCATACCACTCAATTGCATAATTTGGTTAATTGCATAATTTTCTCCTGCACAAAACCATTTCCCGTTCATCTAATGTTAAATTGTCCGGTTATATGCATAGCTCTACAAGTGGCCTTTCCGTTAATTGCATACAAAATAATCGCCAGCTAGATATGCTTAGTTAAAACTGACGAGATTTTTGACCGGAAACGGCAATTTGGTGAGTATATTTTTTCTTGAATGCATCACTATTTTCTTTATTATTTCACATTTACTTTTGTGTTATTATAATAAAGTTTTAAAACAGTTTCTTTCATGTTTATATGATGGAATTTGGTTATAAAATAAGCCTCGATGTGTACACAGGTAAAGTAAAGTTTCCCATGTTCTATTTTAAGCCTCAACGTCATAAAAATGTCAAACAGGTAATTGTTGTAAAAACACTACAATTCTATCTCAAAAGGTGTTAATTATTGATTGTATTTCAAACATTAACCATAGATTACATTTGGGGTAAATTTTAAAAACAATAACGCCTGCTAATTATCGATCATTATCCAATGTGTACTCTCGTAATTCGGCTTGGGGTGTTCTGCATTTATGTTAAATATTACAGGGCATTTATCTAAGGTTGAAGAATTTTTTAAATCAATCATTTATTTTTAATATTTTTTTAAAAGATCATTTACTTCTAATTATTATATTTTCTCACTTTCAACACTCGTGTCCAGCAAATAACCCGTACAGGGACCCATTACCTGTTTTGCATATATACGAAACTAACGAGGTTAAAGAAACAGTGTTACATCACTGTGTAGGCGGTAAATACTGCATATCAAAGGCAGTTCATTACACATTTATTGTTAAAAAATGATTATAAACTGTGAAGTATTATTAAACAGTCTATTTTAACCAAAGCAAAACAATGTACATTGTACATATGGGTCATAGAAACAAATCTATTTTTAGAACAATTTGTTCTATTTTCGTATCCTGGGTAAAGAAAACGTCGGTACTCAATTCAAATAAACTAAAACAAAATGTGTTTATAAACTTTATAGAAAGAATACAAAATACAATAACATGTATGACACTAGACAAATAACTTTTATTAGAATAAATCAATATTCAAAATGTTGTAAGTGGATTATGGACGTTCATCTTTCTTCAGGAATTTCCTTTACTGATCTGTACTATCGTTGTTATTTGACTCCGCAATCGGGCCTTTCGGATAAAAGCATACTCCACTCAATTGCATAATTTTGTCTGACAAATAGGCTATGCAAATAACCGGAATCGACTGTAGTAACAGGTACATTCCTGTTTTCTATTTTTAGGTTTTAGAGTGTACTTGGGATGAACTATTAACCAAAGTGAAAGAAGCCGAAGATTTAGATTACATTATAGCAGCTCACCAGAAATTCTTAGATACAATCACTGCCAGATGTCTATTGGATGAACAATCCAGGGTTAGCTTTTAATATCATTGTCATTTATGACTAATAGGAAATGTATGGTTGACATCAATGTCACAGCAACCCAGTTACACACAAAAATCAAAATCTAAAGATCAACATATGTCTTCAACAATAAACAAGATCTATACAAGATGTTAAGCTCTAAACCGCCTCTTCTATTGACTTCTTTAAAGAGAAAAAACCATTGTGAGATAGTTTTTGCTGTCTGTTGTTTGTGCAGTAATAGGTTGCATGTTTAGTCATTGTAGAAGCTACGTGAAATTTTAGGTCGGGTTCTCTGATTAAAAAAATTCCTGTGCTTTTTGAAAAAAATAAAAAAATCTACATGGAATTGATCTCTCTTAAAAAATTTGGAAATAAGTTTTGTTCAATTGAATGTTGTTTTGGTCTACAGGAATTTATAGATACATATAGATTCTATCACTGTGTAGAGTGCGATACGATATTTATCCACTAGAGACAGTTTAATTTTCAAATTTAAAACGAGAGGCTTGCTTGATATTTGCTATATAGTTTACTCCATGACAGGTTACTGTGGATTAATTATTATTCGTTGGGTACCAATTTTCGTGGATTTCGTGGATACAGGTAAACCACGAATTTAAATGTTCAACGAATTACAAATTTTCTATAAGATTGTATGCAGTATTTGGCAAAACCACGAAATCAAGTATCCACGAAAATTTTTCCTCAATCCACGAAAATTGGTACCCATGAAAATAAATGAATCCACAGTATAGATCAAGTTAGCATTTTGTTCCAGTACAATGAATTTTTAACAGGTAGGGGACTATGTATTGCCGTGCAATACTCTCAGAATGCTTGTTTTTATGTTAACTGTAGTAACCTTGCCCTTGGAATTCTTTTGTGAAATATCCAAAATGTAATTTTTCTTTATTGAAGGAAGTTTAAGATTAAATCATTTAATCTGAATTGAGGCTTTTCTGTTAACAATTACACCTTCTATGTATTCCAACTTAAAGAGTGTCAATGATTGAGGCAAAATGTGAAATGTTGCATAGTTACATATAAATAGTTGGGTTTTTTTTTCCATTTACAGGAAATTCTTACTCAATTAAGAACAATATTTGATCTAGTAATTGAGTTCCAAGCTGCACAAGATAATTTTTATTCAGAAGCAACACAAGAATTAGATATTAGGAGACGTTATGAACACAGACGGGAGCGCAGATCAAAAGAGGTATTTTATCTTATAATCTTCCTCTTAATCAAGAGAGAAGGTTACGTACCATACATTGCTTGTAGATAAAGATTACTACCAAAAAAAAAAGGTATTCCATAACTTCAGAAAATGAATTTAATAACCAGGGATCAATTTTTGTCATCACTGTTACAACGCTGTTATTGTAGCATGTTACATGTTTCAATATTAAATACTTATTTAGTTTTATAAATAAATCATAGACTTGCTTGTATTACTGACAATCTGGTAATCTTGTTATTTTTCCAGGGAGATTGGGAAGTGACTGATGATGAGGAGGAGGAAGAACAATTAAGACGAATTAGTTTTCTGAAACAAATTATCCCTTCTACGAGAGCAAGGCTAACAGTACTGTCTCAGTCTTACCAGGTACATGTTATATATATATTATGTTATTTAATTGGGCAAATAGTTTCAAGTACAGTCCAATATTGTCAAATGAATGGGCATATTTTTTAACGCTTACAGGATGTCTAGGCACATTGAATAGGAGTATTTAATAAAGTTTTCATTACAAATAAATTAATAACATGCTCAAAAGAAGAGAGTATACTGGTTTACCTCTGTTAGTCTGTACTTCTCTCAACATTTTCCTCTGGAACTACAAGTTTGAGCCAGAAATTTTGTTGCAAGCTTCATGTGAACATGCTATACTGTATAATGCTGTTTCACATTCATCGCTCATATGTTCTTGTACACATTATTGTGCTAATAAAAGACCTGCCAGGTCTATTGGGCACATACCAAACAAAATATTTCTATTTCAAGAGCTTTTATTTAGAAACGGAGAATCTAGTGAAGTTTTAATCTGTATATAGCTGTGTTAAAAATGCTTGCCCAAACACAATGTTTACCTGTATTTTTTTTGTGTCTGTGACTTGGATCTATTGACCTCAAAATCAACAGGCTTTGTCTCTTTCCTACTATCTTCCACTTAAGTTTTTGATTAGCCTTGATGAAGTTTTGAAGGCAAGATTGAGGTGTCCTATTTTCAGATGATGGTGTCAACAATTTGTTAAAGTTTGTGATTTGGTTAGTTTATTTAGTGTGCAGTTGTTTTAGCATAAGTACGTTTCATTTCTGTAGAGACCTGCCCCCTCAGTCATAGTCTTTTAAATTGTAAACTTTTGCATAGTTCACATGTAGAATTTTGTGATAAGGTCATTTTAAAGTGTACCACTAATGTTATGTCCATTATATTTGTTATATAATTGTATCAGCTTTTGATCATCTCTTTTCCTTGGAAATGTTGATATAGTGTTGCCATTTAAAGGGGAAGTTATTATAAGGCCACTCTTTTTGGCCCCTTGATTTCGAAAATCAAAAAGTATTATAAATCTACCCCAAAAAATCCTTCATGTGTTCATAAGGCATTAATTAGTCTGTCATACATCAGTATTGATATTTTCTAATTTTGTCTTACATTTTCGTATAAATGCTTCAAAATTTCTTGCATTTAGTGCAAAACTGCAAAACTTCTAAAAAAAACTCATTTTGAAAATTTTATATTTAGACTTGAGCAAGAGCTTTACCAAATAAGTTATATTTTGCTACAAAATGTATTTTACAAAGATGTAAATGTGTGTATGATATCTTTTTTGGATCAAGCTCTTGCTCACGTGAAATTGTCATTTTAGGTCAAAAATGTAAATTTCAACATGTTTACGATGTCACTATTGTCATAGTGACATTACAAGTGGCATTTCTGCATTTAAGTTTCAAGATTAAAGCAACTGGTTCATTTATCAATAAAGTTAATATTTTGAAAGGTTTAAATTAGTTTACCATTTTAGCAATTTTAGGGGCCAAATGATGGCTCTTATGCCTTCTCCTTTCCCACAGTTGCATTATACAATAGAAATTACATACAGGCAAGACATATTTCTGTGTCAACGTTTTTTTTTGTTTTTTTTTTAATGCAGGAAAACCAAAGTTTGAACAGTAGTATATAGTGTGTGGCAATCATCATATTGATTACGAGGAAATTTTGTCCTGAATATGCATTAAATTATAAACAAGTGACTATGAATCAATACTAGCAAAATATCAGAGGAAAGCACTATTATTGCTGTTCTTAATTTGACAGTAGCTATGTCTGATGGTTACATTTCAAGCCTCAAAACAAATGATTAATATTATAGGATCATTTATCAGGAGACATTTGTTAAACATATTTGTAAAACTTTGTGAGATAAATGATTAAGATAAAACAAGGGACCTCTCATCACAAGTAAAATCAGGTGTCAAAGGGCAGACAAAATTCTAAAGGATAATGTAACATGTAATATGAGACATTAACACAAATATTAGTAAAATTTTGACACATCGTTATTGTGTTCAAAATTTATTCAGAAAATGATTTTTAATATGATTGACTTCTATTATAGGATATGGTGAAGCAGTTCTTAGTGATGGTGACAACGCACCAGGATGTTAGTTTACGATTCCTAAGTTTCCGTCTAGACTTTAATGAGCATTACAAATCAAAGGAACCAAAGCTACAAAGCCCCTTTATGTATAGAGGCTTGAGACATGTCACATAATATTATAGATATTTATATATTTTTAATACTTAGTGCTGGGTACTGTTCACTTAAGATTGTAAGAGTTACATAACTGGTCATTATATACATGTATGTAATTACTGTGTTTATGCAAAAAGTTGTATTTCTGCCATAATTCCATCTTGAATGCAACCAGATTGTTTATATCTTGACTTGTTAAGAAATTTCAGATGAATAAATAGTTACATTTACTATCGTAATGACAAATACCTAATTGTTAGGTACATATATGATTTGAATAATTATCCTTGGTGAATAATTATCAATTGAAAGAGTTCCTTCCCAATGAAATGCAATCTGTATTTCAGAGACGATAAAATGTAGCTTTTAGTATTTATTTGAGAAATTTTTAATAAAAACAAGTCAGAATCTCTCAAGCGCTGTCTTTCTGACTTTCCACTAATTATTTGTATTTGAGAGTGTCTTACGTTTTGTGCCTTTGAGTTGCCATTAACAATTATGTCTCTTGTCAGATTTTGATTGTTTTATTGTTTATTTATGATAAGATTTACTTGTTAAGAATAAGAAGGATATATCATTTATGGCCTTTTTCTTTCATCGATATTGAACTTTATCTTTTTGTGGAGGATGTTACAGAATGCCTTTTTTGCTTTTGGTTTAAATGATTTTCACAAACCAGTATTTTTTTCCAGATCTTTTGATAAAAATAACCCTGTTAAATATATGAACAGAAAATAAAATATTCACAAAAATACAATGTTTCCAAAGTTCATGAAAATTAGTACCCACACAAGATAAATGAATAAACAGTAGTTTTTGTCTTGCCTTGACGGAGTCAAAAAATGAGACGGGAGGTGTCAACAATATATAAGTTTGTTATTAGTTCTAGTTTATGGTGAACCACTAGTGGTAGGTCAATGATAGTTGGTATGCAGTTGTATAAGCATTGGCATATCTCATTTCCATGGAGATTGTTTGGCCCCACACCCTCAGTCATGGTCTATTGACTTTGAAACTTTTGTTTATTTTACATGTATTAGTTTGTGATTAGCTCAATTTAAGGGGAGCCATTAGTGGTAGGTCAATGATAATTGGTATGCAGTTGTACAAGCATTTGCACATTTCATTTCCATGAAGAATATTAGCTCCTTACGCCTCAGTCAACGTCTATTGACATTGAATCTTTTGCTTAGTTTACATGTATTAGTTTGTGATTCGATCAGATTAAGATTCACTTAAGTCAATGATATTTGTTATGCAAATGTATAGGCATTTGCAAGTCTCATTTCCATGGAGATTATATAGCCCAAACCCCTCATCATGGTTCATTGACTTTGAAACTTTTAAATAGTTTACAAGTTAATGTTTGTGTTAAGGTTTGTTTAGAGGGAATGTATTATGATAAGTCAATGGTATTTGGTATGCAGTTGTATAAGCATTGTACATCTAATTTCCATTGACCTTTACATTCAGTCATGGTTCATTGACTTTGACTATTTGCATAACTTACATGTTTAAGTATTACTAGTTTAATTTCAACATTTGCATTATCAAAATAACAAAAAGGCTAGACATATCTCTGTATTAACAGTATTATTTAAAAATTACCATGAACATATATTCAAACGAATTTTTCATTTATATTTTACAGTGTTAAAAGAATGATATCATCTGAAAGTAAATTTTTAGAACAAATTGAAAATCAAACGTATACTTATAATAGCATTGAAAGAATATTGGTATAAGTTCATAAATCTTGTTTAAGAGTATCCGGTTTCTAAAATGGTTGTACATGAGTAAGATAAACAATAAGTGGAATTGGTTGTATTGTTTCAGATATATGGCAGTGCATAAGTAGGTGATTAATACAAAATAGCAAATTGCAGAACTAGAGTTTAATGTTTTGGAAATGTAATATTATTGACATCTTTATAGATTTATATTTTTGTTATGTTCCCTGCAACAAATGATACTGTTTGGAATAAAAGCAATGGAATACACAATTTATAGGAAGCTTTTCAAGGGGCATAAGAGAGATGCAAACCATACCTTGTAAATTGACATCTAATGATCTGAAGTATTTGTAAGGTATATGACCATTGAATTTAATTTCATGGTTTCATAATGGTATAAGATCTGTGTCAAGTTTTCATAAGGCTTTTATTTCTCAAAAGTAATAATACCTACACCAATAGGATTAAGTCATTAGATGTTTAACTGGTTGATCTGTCAGATATGTTGCATTTTACCTCTTCATTATAAACTTACAGATAATATTTGCATCATTGTATTTATGATTAGACCAGTTACTTATCTCATACCAAGAATAGTTCTTTAATATTTTCACTCTATACGAATTTACAAGACTAAATTCACCTTAAAAAAACTTTTCTTTTCTATCTGAAATATTGGAATACAGAAAATGTTAAACTAAGTTAGTATTTTTTTTTATATTTGGACAATTTGTGAGTCATTGTAGAAATAACCCATCAAATCATAGAAGAAATAACCAATCAAATCATAGAAGAAATATCCAATCGAATCATAGTAGAAATAACCCACCAAATTGTAGTGGAAATGACCTGCCAAAACTATATTGATTCACAGATGACTCCAAGAGCACAACAATAACATTTTTTCACCCATAAATGTAAATGTAGTAAAACTCATCAAATATACCAGTCTTATAATTTTGTACCCCCAACACATGTTTTGTCTACAAAAGACTCATCAGTAGACAACATAACCAGAAGGGATGAATATTAAACTATTTATCATTCTCACAATAAATTATTTGACCTTAAGAACAGAAGATTTTATTATTTTTAAGTAAGTTTATTTATACTATTTAAAATATCAGCCAATAAACATAGGAACAAATGATTGGATGAATTTTTACATATATATTGAATGTTGAAGACGTTTACTTCATAATTCTGAAGATTGTTATGAATAAAAGGAGGCAAGGTGGAACTTTTATTTTCAGTTAAATTTTCAAGACTATATTTATGTATAAAACTATTCGTATTTATTGTCTTTTACATTTAACCTGCATTAGTACTATTCACCTGGTTAAGAAACGTTTTATGCAGCATGAACAATTTAAGTCTTTGACTTATAGTGTATTAGGTATTATCAATTTCATTTTGTGTCAAAAAAAATACATTGCAAGAAATTACCTAAATTTTGACCTGCAAGCAAATTAGTTTTTTCAATTGATAAGAAATTAGTCCTTACATTAAGAACAATTATAGTAGCAATGCTATACTTTAATATGATCCTTAATAAGAAAAGTATAGATACTGTCATCTGTACATCTGTGATTTTTTTCTGATTAGACCTCTTGAGAACACTGGTATCTTATTGATTGAATATCTTGTTAAGTTTGAATTTGGTTTTTTTAAAATCTTGAATCTCGATTTTTAAGATATGCAAATTATTTCCAAATAAATGAGAAGTACCAGATTAAAGGCACAATTGGAATATCTTGCATGTATTTCATCATTTCATTCACTAAAGTATAATATAATTATGAATTTTTCCTTCATTTAGAGTACAAAGTTGTATAACAAAATTTATGCAAGGTATAGCAAGAACGTTTTAGTGGAATTGGTACAAGACTGCAGGAGATTATCCGATATGGTGAAGATCATTTTCTGAACTTCAAACTGTGATGAACTGTTATATAATTAATTTTGTAGAATACGTTTTAATTTTATTTTGAATTAAGACAAATACATTAAAAATTGGATAATTGCATTGTTCTTGTTCTAGCAATTTCATATGAATAAAAGAAAATGTAGAGTATGATTTAATGAGAAGATAACTCGGTAAATCTGCAAAAATAACAGGAAGAGCATAGTCTATATAAAACCAACTCTTCCTTACAATAAATATTCTTCCTGAGTCTTTAGAAAGGTTGTGCAAAATTAACCACAACTACTGTAAATTCAAAAATTATTGCGAGGTTTTTATTATGGCGAATAATGCAACTATGTGAAAATCGCAATGATAGGAACTCTCATTGTGATATTGGATACATTTATGCAGAATTTCATGAAATGGCAATAATTAATCTCTCACTTTTGTCCTTTCTTCGAAAATCGCAATAATAAATGCACACAACAATTTCTGAATTTACAGATCTGTAAGCAACACATAACCCACTAAGATAAAAACAAGGCAACCACCAATGAGACCCCGACCTTGGATAGGCACTGAAATATATGGTCAGACCAAATCAATCTCTTTATAATCTTAATCCATTCCCTTTCCCATCTTGATCAGTGGACTAAAAAGGAACTGGAAAAGAAAAAGCTTTTTATGCTACGGCGGGGGCATTAAGTTTTACCCTTGTCCGTCTGTATGTACGTACGTATGTCCCAAAATTGATTTCCGTTCTCTTAACTTTAGTTTGCCTCAACCAAATGTAATGAAACTTATACACAATGCTTATTACCATAAAACACAGATCAAGTTTGAATTTTGGTGGCGTCACTTTTACCGTTCTGGAGTTATGCCCTTTACAAATGGCAGTTGTAAGTTATAACTGATCTTCGCGCCACATGTATTCGTGTGTAATATTTTCTTAAGGATAATGAATGTGGGATTGAGGTGATTGCAAAGGGATTTAGAGAGTACTCTTGGTTGTTATAGAATTAGCGCATCTGAAACGATTAGTATTGAACCTCAGAGTAAAACGATTAATTCATGTTAGGTATGCGTTTCCAAGGGACAAACAATTATAAACGCTTCAAAGGGGTCGTAGAACCCTTAGAGTCAGAGGATGCACTGGACATGGATGGTTCATTGGTTGCTCTAAAACAAATAAAACAGATGATCAAGTTCCTATCAAGCTTATGTATTTGTGCCAAGATGTACTATTCACAAAGGGACATGTATAGGACAGGTACATGAAGTTGTAAGTACTTCAGATCAGAAACAGCATAAAATATATTCAGATCTATGCGTTCGAGATTTACTAAACTTGCTGCTTCTTTCAAACAGCTACCAGGCTACGAAATGAATTAGATAAAAACATTGATGACTTGCCAGAGAAGGATATGATTTAGACTAAATATAGTCCTTGGGCATCAGAAGTTGTGCTTATCAGATAGAAAAAACGAGTCATATAGATTTTGTATTAACTAAAGACGATTAAACAAAGTAAGGGGTAAGGGTGCGCATCTATTTCCAAGGTGCGACGATTCTTTGGAGCACTTTTCAGTGAATATCTGGTTTTCTACCCTTGATTTATGCAGTTGTCATTGGCAAGTTTAGTTTGGCACAACTGATAGTGACATGATACAGAAACTTGAAAAGGTGTTTGAGCGCCTTCAAAAGGCTGGTTTAAATTAAAGACCAAAAAGTGTTTTTGCACGTTTAAGAAGTACTGTTCTTATGACATTTCATTTTTAAAGGTGTCATCACCATTGACCATTCCAAAATAAAAGCCACCAAGAACTGGCCATCACCATTAAGTGTAATGTAGGTAAGATAATTCTTGATAAGACTTCTCAACTGTGATCAAGTGTCTTTACAGATAAACTGAAAATGGTAGGGCTTTGTTTGGAAGAAAGTTGTGAAGATGCGTTTACATTTGCACAGAACAAATTGACTTGTGCACTATTCTTGGGCATCCCGCTTTTTTCACATCCTCTGATGACAGTATTGAAACTATCTTTTCTGTGCTATCCCAAGCTGGTATTCTATATTGGCTAATCAAGTAGAACATTGAGTAAAACTGAAAGACACAATTACATGACAAGGAAGGAACTTTGGCCGTGGTTAATATGGCGAAGCACATGTCGCCTTAACTTTATACAAAAAGTATATTGTTCGCACCGACCAAGGTTCCCTGTGCTGGCTCATTCAGTGTTCAAGAATCCCGAAATACCTTTAACTCAGTAGCTTCAGGAGATGAGGAAATTTGATGTTGAAATTGTCAATCGACATAACAATGCAGATACCTCAAGCCGGATGCATTGTAAACAATGCGGATACTGCACAGTGATTTGGAAAAAGACAGTGGGAAATGAAAGTGGAAGTGTCCAATCAGTCAATGATAAACTCTTTAATCTTTCAGATCAAACAGCACTCTTTAAATGAATAGCAGGAAAATGACAACTCTATTCAATTTCTCAAAGTCTTTTCTTGACGATTTTTTAATCCCCATTCATAGAGATATCTTGAAGGAGTCCTTCCGTTAGATGGTTGGTCTAAGTGGGCTATTCTTGAATTGATTGGTGGTAGCTGAGACTACTATAACACAGTGTTATAGTAGTCTCAGGTGGTAGACTTAACCGACGATTTGAAACATCTGACAAATCGAAAAATCGATGACAGGTCATAGTACGGTAAATAGTGAGTAAAGTATGGTATAACAAAACTTCTGCACGCATGAAAATAATTTAAGTAATGGCTAGTAATTTCAAGCTATCATTTTAACTAATTTGAAGTAAAATTCTAAGTAATACCAAGTAATCCAAAGCAAATTTTTAAGCATTCAAAGTATTATCCAAAGAAAATTGCTAGTTATACAATGTCAAACTTATGCAATTTTCAGACTGTGAAACCTACATATGTTGAAAATGTAAAATTATGCAGTCAAATTTCATAGGAAGCATTTATTATTAACAATTATTAAACCTTATATATGCAAGTAAATGATATTATGTAGTGCCTAAGTCTACTTAGTAATAAGAAGTTTTATTTCCAAGTTATCAGAAGTAATTCCAGTAACTTTCATACTGCATTTTAGTAAGAAAAAATAAATATGTGTAGTTCTTTAAATATTTTACTAAATTCAAGTAATTTCTTTTTACTTAAAACAGTAAGTTATTACTTAAATAAGGACTTAGTAATTTATTTACTCGAGTGAGTAAAATTATTATAAGTATTTTTTTTTATTTAAGTATTTTTTTTAATAAACACAAAAGTTCAGTTAAACAATTACTTGTTTCAAGTAACTATGTTCATATCTAGTAAAATATAAGTAATTGCTAGTAATTGTGAGTAACTGGTAAGTAATTCCTATTAATAAGTAATCAAAAAGAATACTTAATTTAAGTAAAATATAATTACTTAGAAATGATTTTTTTGTGTGCATGGTAGAGTGAAAAAAAATTGAGATAATTCGCCAGAAGATTTACTTGACTGGATTACACGCTGACGTTCGTATGAAATGTATCTATTTTGAACACCAAGAAGACAAGGACAACATTTATCATTCTCTTTCAGATAGACAATTGGAGAGCCAGAAGATTTACTTGACTGGATTACACGCTGACGTTCGTATGAAATGTATCCATTTTGAACACCAAGAAGACAAGGACAACATTTTATCATTCTCTTTCAGATAGACAAGTGGAGAGCTTCAATAAAACATTTGAGATCATGTTCAGTGCATATGGGAACGACTATCATAGGGATTTTGACAAACACCTTTCGTGTGATGATGGCGTTCTGTAGTGCAGAACACAAGACCACAGGCTTACTCTAAATTATCTCATTTGATTTGGGTAGGAAAATTTCTACGCCAATTAACCTTCAGCAAATGTAAAGATTTAAAAAAAATATTGGGCGTTGGAGCTGAAAGAACCGAGAAGGTCAGACAGAATACAAAACTTCAATGAGGTTTCTTGTACTGAAACTGTCATGGCAAGATTTGTAGTGTGTCAAAGCATGTTTATTTTCCGCTAAAGAAGATTGACCAGTAATCAAAATATATCTTATTGGAGAGGGTATTTAAGATATAAGAGAAATATAACGATGTTACTTATTAAGTTCATTGTGGTCCAAAAGGAGATGCTTGGATAGTTCACGTAGACATGAATGCAGAAATTGAATCATCAACTACTTCAGGGAGATAGTGTGGAAACATCGGAAGGACCAAAATCTCAAAGAGAACAACCACGCGTTTGGATGAAATACAGGTGTGTACTGTATTTATATTATCATGTTAAAACTTGTAAATAACAACTTGCTTTGATTAGTAATTTGCATGCCATAAAGTTGTCAGTTAGTTTTGTGCCTATTTAGATATCCTTATTTTGTGTTTTATTGTGTTTCCTTCGGATGGGGACGTTAAATCCGAGGTCCTATATACAAGGTGAAAATACCACTTATACAGATTTCGTTGAGTAGGCATATTTGCCGCTTCGTAGGCTTGCTTGTTTCAAAAGAATTAGCATATTCCTTGCTCAGTGGCAGTTGTAATTCTTCCATGTTTTAGCATCATAAGAAGATATTATTTGGGGCGATAATCAAATTTCAAATTCCATGAAATTGAAATAATACAGGCAGTGAAAATGATAAAGACACTGTCAAGTTATTCAATTATTACATGATCTAGTTCCTCCAATATATAGAACATTTTGTTTGGTAAGAATATCTTGAAACACCCCATCATTGATAATCAACTTAACAGTCCTGTGATTGGCCTCCCTTTCATACTACCCTTTAATTAAGACTTGGGCTAATCCATTAAGGTAGAATATAAAGCATCTGAAATAGTAGTTCAGTGTTGGAAGTCCTTCAAATTTTGTGAGAAGAGAGTATAATTTGTTGTTATTGTATCAACATATTGAATTCCAAGTGAAATTGGGTTGCAATCTTCTTGACATACAACTCGCATCTCCTTTTATTCATGTAAAATAGAATTGAGAATGAAAATTGGGAATGTGTCAAAGAGACAACCCCACCAAAGAGCAGAAAAAAGCCCAAATGAGTTTTGATATCAACAGAAGCATTCTAATATTTGTGTATTTGCATACATAGCCCTCACAAACCCTAAACCCAATATAACTTGCTGTATAGCATGTTTTTTTATGATTAAGATTACACAGTGACCTGTAGTTGGCCTTCATAATTCAATTTGTTTCCAGTGGTGACAGAAAGTTGTACAGTCCTACCAAAAATACAGGTTTCAAATACACAAGGCAGCAAAAATGTGCTCTCACATTTTTTTAGAACATAGCTGGGGGTCTAAAAACTAGAGGCTCTCAAGAGCCTGTGTCGCTCACCTGTATCTACTGTGGTTTTGGAAATGGGCAATAACTCCTTAAGGGATCAATTGACAATTTTGTGATTTATTTGTAGATCTTACTTTGCTGAACATTTTTGCTGTTTACAGTTTATCTTTATCTATTATAATATTCAAGATAATAACCAATAAAATGCTTTGCTGAGCGCAGCCTGATACGACCGCAGAGGTTGAACCCTGAACAGTTGGGGCAAATTTGGACACAATATTCAAGCTTGATACTGTCTGAATTTGGATGGTGATGAAATTTTTGATATAATATAGGTTTCTGACACAAAATAAATGTGGTCAAAGATCTTATAAGTCCATTGCGCAATACTGTGCAATTGAAGATTTCTTCTTGAAACTTTTAAAAAATTCGAAATTTAAAAAATTTTGAAAAAAAATATGAATCCCTTAAAAAAATTGGGAAAAAAATTCACCTCCCCAACTTTTTTAAACCCCCCTTGGAGCAATAACCCCAAAACTCAATCCCAGCCTTTCCTTTGTAGTATGGAACCTTGTAGTACAATTTCAGAGAGATCCATACACTTACACACAAGTTATTGTCTGGAAACTAGAAAAATGCTTGTTTTTGGCCCTTAATTCCTACATGTTTGGGGCAATTAACCCAAAACTCAATCCCAGCCTTCCCTTTGTTATATTGCACCTTGTGGTACAATGTCAGAGAGATCCATACACTTACACACAAGTAATTGTCTGGAAACTAGAAAAATGCTTGTTTTTGGCCCTTAATTCCTAAACTGTTGGCCCCCATAACCCCTAGAATGAATCTCAACCTTCTACTTATGGTATTAAACATTGTGGTACAATTTCAGTGCAATCGAAATACTTATGCACAAGTTATTATCCTGAAACTATAAAAATGCTTGTTTTGGGCCCCTAATTCCTAAACGGTTGGGACCATCATCCCCAAAATTAATCCCAACCTTCCTTTTGTGGTATTGAAACTTCTTAAAAAATTTCATAGAGATCCATTCACTTAAACTTAAGTTATTGTCCAGAAACCAAGGTGTCTTCGGACAACAATGCAGACGACGACGACATCATACCATTATACGATCCCAAAATTTTTTTTGCGGTCATATAAAAACTGCACAATTTCCTTAAAATTACCAATTCAGGGGTAGCAACCCAACAAGGGGTTGTCTGATTCATCTGAAAATTTCAGGGCAGATAAATTTTGAACATTTTTAACCATGTCAGATTTGCTTACAAATGTTTCAGTTTCAGATATTAACCAAAAACTGCATTTTACCCCTATGTTCTATTTTTAGCCAAGGCGGCCATCTTGGTTAGTGGGCAGGGTCTTTGGATACAGTTTTTAAACTAGATACCCTAAGGATGAATTAGGCCAAGTTTAGTTCAATTTGGCCCGGTAGTTTCAGAGAAGATTTTTGTAAAAGTTAATGGAGGACGACAGACTACAACTGACGCCAAGAGATGTGAAAAGCTCACTTGACCCTTTGGGTCAGGTGAGCTAAAAAGTGTATCCCTCACCTGGATATTTTCCTGATGTCAACAATCTACATTCTCTCCATGTGTTAACTTTCCTCAAATAAAACAGCATCTAGAATAGCTCTAAACTACTAAGGCATTTGACAATGGGTTTAGAATTTGACAATGACCTTTGAATATGATATACTGTTGGTATCATTAATTATAGAAAATCAACAAGACAGTGTGTCTACATATGGTTGGAGCGCATCCATCCGTATAATGGAAAACCTATCTTCAGACTTGTATAATAGTGATGGAATCCATTGGATGTTGGATGTGTACTGATTGATGTTTAAGTCTTACATGATTTTCTTTCAAGTTGTTATTGGCTTTGATCTAGCGGTCAGTAACTGCCGGTGCTCTCAGATCAGTAATTTGTGTCTTTTTGTGTTGTTATGGATGTATAAATACACTGTTAGTCCAGTCTGTTTTTATATGACCGCAAAAATTAATAATTTTTTGGTTGTATATTGGAATCACGTTGTCGTCGTCTGGCGTCGTCGTCATCAGCGTCGTCCGAAGACAAATGGTTTCCGGATAATAACTTTAGTGTAAGTAAATAGAAATCAATAAAATTTTAACACAAGGTTTATAACCACTAAAGAAAGGTTGGGATTGATTTTGGGGGTTATGGTCCCAACTGTTTAGGAATTAGGGGCCAAATAAGGGGCCCAAATAAGCATTTTTGTAGTTTCCAGACAATAACTTGTGTTAAAGTGTTAAAATCTCTCTGAAATTATACCACAAACTTCCATACAACAAAGGGATGGTTAGGATTGACTTTGGGGGGTTATGGCTCAAACCATATAGTAATTAGGGGCAAAAAAGGGGAAAAACAAGGTTTTTTTCTGTTTAAAGGACAATTGAGACAATTTAAAAGCAGTGTAAGGGAGGTAATCCAATTCAAATTAAAGAACACTGTTTGATTACCTCCCTTACACTGCTTGTAAATTATGTATTAAGCAATGATGATTGTCTTGAGGTGATTAGCTGTCAATTTATTTTCAGCAGTTACTATTAATTAATATTAATTTTAGCCATGACTATGTATGTCATTTTATATTTTAAAACTTTTATGATGTATTCAAATGGGTAATTTTGGTTGCAAACTGCATTAGAAATTTGAATTGAGATACTGACCATATCTTGAGGGAAAGAATTTTTTTGGGGAATAAGGGAAAGGGGGGGGGAGGTGAAAAAAATTGGAGGTGGGGACAATTTTTCTTATTTCAGATTTCAGAAATTAAAAGAAAATTTCTTCAAATATTTTTTTTGGGGGGTTAATATTCAACAGCATAGTGTATTGCACAAAAGCAAAAAACCGGGGTAAAATAAACATTTTTTGGTAGGGGGGGGGGGGTCAATTCGCAACAGCATAGTGTATTGCACAAAAGCAATAAATTGAATATAAATTCAAATCATATAACCAATTTGAAGTTCTTTGACTACCGTTATTCTGTGTCAGAAACCTATTATGTGTCAAAAATTTAGTTACAATCCAAATTCAGACCTGTATCAAGCGTGTATATTGTGTCCATTTTGGCCCAACTTTTCAGGGTTGGACATCTGCGGTCGTATCCAGCTGCACTCAGCGAAGCAATTTATTGCTAGATATTTTTCTGCTTTGTATCGATCTGATGAGTTGAGCCCTTTTCAACTGATTTTTATAGTTTGTTCTTATGTTGTGCTGTTATACCACTATCCCAGGTTAGGGGAGGCTTGAGCACTCACGAACATGTTTAACCATGCCACATTCTTTATGTGCCTGCCCAAAGTCAGGAGCCTGTAGTTCAGTGGTTGTTGTTGGTTCATGTCTTTCATAAAAGCCGTTAGTTTTCTCAATTGAATTGTTTCACATTTTCATCGCCTTTTATAGCCAACTATACAGTATGGGTTTTTCTCATTGTTGAAGGCTGTACGGTTGCCTATTATTGCTTACATCTACTTCATTTGAACTTTGGTGGATTGTTGTCTCATTGGCAATCATACCACATGTTATTTTTATATAGTTGATGTTGCAGGGTCAAATGACACCTGAAGGACTTACTTGGCTTAAAAGGCTTTCAGTCTTTGTATTGAACTTGATATCATCTAATTCTTATATTGATTTCAATATACTGTAAAAGATATTTTCTTCTTGGATACATTTTTTTCCTGTACAAGTGAAAATTTATGGCTCCTAGTTGCAAACATTTTGACATTTAAGATTACGTTTCATTAATTATCTAATTCTAGCTTTTACATGCAATGAAATTCATAAAAGTTGGCACTAAAAAAATCAATAAACAAGAACATGTCCTCATAGGACATCATGCCCTGCTTGCAGTTTAACATTTCCATATTAATTGAACTGCAAGTTCTTGATCAAAACCCTTATATATATTCAAAAACGTTCACATCCTAATGAACACGTGTACTAACTTTCAAGTTAATATGACCACAACTTCTTGTAAAAAATACTGTAACCCGATACTTAACCTCATACTCGACAGACTTATAGATGGACAGATGGAAAACAAAATAAGCATTAACTATAGTGAGCTATAATAATTACAGTCACTTGCTAAGCCATTATGGTCTTATATCACATAAAATAACAACTATAAGATTTCAATATTTATTGTTTATATATTATAACAGTCCTAGAGGTCTTCAGACCTGTTCAACAGATTTAGAAACCTCCATAACAATTAACAAGGCAGGAATCTGTTGCCTCCAGGAGAAATCAAGGATCTACAGCTATTTGTTGCAAATAAAACATCTATTTTCCTACAACCACCTTGATATAAAATTATGCATATGTCAGAATTCACAAGCACCAAAACACCTTAAAATGATAAAATTAATACACATTTGGTATGACAAATATTTGTTTAATTATTTTGTATCTAGACTAGCTTAGGTAAGAGGTATCTCATGAAAATTTTATTTGAACCTGCTAAAATATTAAAATTTAATATGGCAAGAGACTGTGAAATATAATCAGTCCAATGTAGTTGCACTTTTCCTTATTTCATAATCTCAAAGTAATGCACAAAAATCAACTTTATTGATAAGTTAAATTCAGGCCTAATCTAAGGCCATTTTTTTCTAAACAAGTAACAGAAGATCTATTTCTATTTTGAAAAAAAAAGAAAGATGAAACCATCTGATTACTGATCAATTACAGCTTCATGTCCCTTACTTTATCAGACTGGTCAAATTTAAATACAAGTTAACAAATGCTCATTTTAATGAGGGGTTAAATCAATGATTTCAATCTAGTCTCCTCGTACTGTTTATACTTTTAAAACCACTGAAGAAAGGTTAATTCCTAGTATAAAAATTAATTTTCAAGTTGCACATATGGTCTCGCAGGTTTGTGCTCTAGTTTTTTGCCTCATGAACAAACCATGAGTATATCTCATACATATATATCACCAACTTATCCTCTTTGAAACAGTTATGTATAGAAATAATTCCATTTCCAGTAATTACTCATCATGTATATTAAATTTTTAATGAAAATCATTTTAAGAGGCACAGGTTCAAAGTTTTCAAATTAAAGTAAAAACACAAAATTAAAATTGACCATAAATTTAAGTACAACATTTTTTCAAAGTGATTAAATGATGAACAACATTTAATTTTTACAAAATCTGCTTATGATTTAAAATACTATAGAGATATAAAGAAATACATTTGGATTTGTACAAATTAATCCTAATAAATGTTCAAACAATATAGAGTATAAATGTAGTCTACCATGCAAAATACAAATAGATTTATAAAGCTTAGCCAGCATATCACTATCCTTTGATTTTTCTCTCTGGTATTGTCCACATATTTAAAAAAGCATTATCTTCAAACAGTTAAGCTGCATTGATAGAACTGAACTAAGATTGTGAGAGTCTATAAATGGATTTGTTATCTTGGATGTAGAGTTCACTGTTTTTTCTTCTTCTAATAATTGATCAAAGAAAAAAAAGAGATAATAATAATAATAAAGAGGAACAATTATCTCATATGTTTTTGTGTGTTGCTGAAAATTAGAGTAAGTTACATGGATGCTGCCGTCTATCTATTGCAAATATTTATGAACCATGCCATGGTTAATTTGAATACAAATGTGTACAATTTTACTAAATTTCACTCAATATAAATACCTCTTAAACATATATGGAACCATAAAAAAATGGAGCATACATGGACATGAGTCTTTAGTTTTGTGTTCAACCTGCTAACTACTATATATCAATACCATTAGAAACTATAACTGTTCTAGCAATAATCACGTGTACAAAATTTTCCCAAATAATACAGGGCATACATAATTTGATGTTATATGGCACAGTTTATACAACATCATGTCTAACTGACATTCATCATATACTACATCTACCTTTTATAAAACTAAAGAAGTATTTCTAAACAATTGTTTTAATCCTGAGCATAGAAGATTGTCAGCATAAAAACACAATGTCAACTAACAAACAAATAAAAACAACAAACATAAAAAACACTGATGCTAGATCATTTAATTTTAATTTCTCAATGCCATTTAATATGCTAGTCTTTTATATCTTTATCCAAGCAGTTTTTCAATAAAAAAAAAACTCCTTAAATTAATATTGTTAAAGTCTTCAATTTAAAGAAAATTGCAAACACTATTATGTTTAGAAAAAAAATGATCAAAATAACATAACAAATTTTCAATTTACATACAGATACAGCTTCATATTTTTGTAAAGAGACTAAAGAAGTTAATAGCAACCTAAATACTTCAAGTCCTTGCAACATTTTAAATATGTGAAAGATTTACTAGTTTTTTTAAAAAGGAACTTGTTACATATGCTTCTATTTTATCACAACTAAGAGTTATGAAATTTTCAAGTATACTTAGGTAAACCTTTAGGTTATCACAGAACTTGCTATTATAATAATTATATATCATTTATTAAGCTCACATACTTGTACATTTTTTAATTTTTTTATCAATTATATTAAGCAAATACACATATTTGAATTTCTTGTTAACAATGGAATGATGCATTAATTAATTTTGAGGTTTCTTCACAACATTTGTTTTCAAAGTTGCATGGAAAAGTATCTACAGATAAATAGTTAACATTATTTCTACATAAAACTAAATATCAATACATATAAGGAAAACTTTTATATAGATATTTGATACCTTCATTTATGATTTAACTGAAAATAAATCAGAAATTTAAACGTATCAAATCATGAATCTCTCATAGTTTAAACACTTAAGAAAACCAAATGCTGACAAAACACACATGCATGACTTACATGGTTTGCTAAAAATGACATAACAATAATGCTGACATATTACAAGTTGTACCTAAAATTACATGTATGAAAACAATGTATATACTGACTGTTAGTTGGTTCAAAGCTTCCTCTGGCATGGATTTCTGCTGAATTGCATGCATACTGTTTATTCACACTGGGTAAAATAAAAAGATAAAAAAACTTAAATAAATACACAACTGCAATACATGATCTGTATATTACTGGTTAGTTTGTATGAATTAATGACAGTTAGTTAAAAGCTTTTGTGTAGTTTTCTGTCATGCATTTTTAATACAAGAGTTCCAAGACAGTGAATGTTTCAAGGTGGAGGTTGAAAAAGTCATATCACATGACATTTTCTATGCATCTGCCTAATCTTTCTCTCAGGTGATTTTAATTGTATGCAGACAACTTGTTGATCCCTTATTATCTGATGTAATCATGTGACTGACTTGTGTAAAACGAGATCAGACCCAGTGAAAAAGACTATTTTGGAACTTTGTATTGTTTTGTAATTTTGAAATTGAACTTACAATTAAATAAAATAATTTGTAAATGCACTGCAGTGGTTGATCAAGACAACCAAAATGGCATTCTTGGACCTGTAACTTTTTTTTTGTAAAGTTTGCCTGAATATTTAGTTGTTAAAGTCCTATTGTAACTTAAGCAATTAAGAAAAATCTTTAATAAATATTTTAAATGTTTGAGCTAAATATATGGTATCATCCTTTAATTCAAAAATAAAATATAACATGCAAATGAATAAAAAGAATGCAATATAAGGTCGCAAGTCACCTACTAAATTATCCTCATGAATGAAAATGATTAGTGACTGTCAAAAGCTCCATCAAATCTTTTGTAAAGAAAAGTGCAAAAGCAGGGAGTGTTGCAGTTAACGGCTTTTTCTTCCCTAATATTTCCAGCTTTACTGCTGAAAGCCAGAGGAAAAGCAGCTATGTGTTATTATAAAGCAATATTCCCATTTAATTCTTGTCTTGTAAAAGGCTATCATTAGTCAGTTTATGAAAATAATTTTCAGCACTGGTCATTTTCTAAGAATTATAATTAAAGATTAAGATCGAGACAAAGAACATTGTAACTCTAAGCAGCACCACCCAATATATAAGCTGCCTATACACTCACAAATTTTAAAAGTTTTTATTTTCCAAACTTTGAAGCAAAAGGATTAAACACTTTTTTAGTTGGAGTAGTTGATGGTTTGGCAGGTTCTTTAGAGGTAGCTCCTGGTGCTGTCGATGATGCAACTGGCCCTGTGGGTGATGTTGGGGTTGTTGGCTTAGCAGAAACTCTAGGACCAAATTTTGATGCAATACCAGAACCTGGTCCAGTTGGAGATGTGGGTTTTGGAAATGTTCCTGGACCTGGTTTCGGCACACCAACTTTAGATTCTTCATTTGCTTTGGCACCAAAACTTAACTTCGGAGCTGGTTTTGAAGGAACTTTTGGATTCTCCTTTGGTGCTGCTGTTGGTGCAATTTTTATTGGTACACCAGTACCAGTTGGAGAAGTTGGTTTTGGAGCAGTTCCCGGACCAAATTTTTGAGCAGGTTTTGGCTCCACTTTTGGAGTAGGTTTACCAATACTCTTAGGCTCTACTTTTGGAGCAGGCTTTGGTTCTTCTGTTTGGGCTGGGGTACTCTTTGGTTCTATTTTAGGTGTTGGGGTACTTTTTGGTGCCACTGCGGGGGCTGCTGCTGTAGGAGAGGTAGGCTTTGGGCCAATTTTTGGTGCAACTTTAGGTTCTACTGTAGGTGTTGCTTCTGTAGAAGCGTGTTCTGCAGTATTCACTGGCTTCGTTTCTGTTACTTTAGTAGGTATAGATTCTACTGTTGTCATTGCAACTGGGGCTTCTATGGATTCCTTTACCGGTGCAGCTTTGATTGCAAGAACTGGCTCTTTCTTAGTAACCTGATCAGGTGTTATAGGAACTGCAGCAGGGTCTACACTAGATACAATATTTTCAGAAGCAGAAGGCTGAGAGGCAGATGATTCAGTACTACTTACAGGTTGTTTTGATTCCTTTGAAGTCTCAGCAGGTTCCTCAGGGGGTGATGGTCTAGAAAATGGACTAGTAGCTGGTTTATGGGGTTCTGCAGGTTTACTTAGGGATTCTTCTAGTTTTTTCTGAATGTTTACAAATGAATCTTCACCTAAGTAATCTATCTGACCCTTTTCCCAATTTAACTTTCTTTCACCACTGGACAAAGCAGATGCATGGGCTGGCACTTGGTCTCTTGATATCTTTAATGTAGCAAGCTGTCCTATTAATCCCTCCTAGAAAATATAAAAAGACAATTAAATACAAAACAAAAACTGTGCCAAACATATTCAATCAGAATTTTTTAATTATGTACAATAACAACTAAGGAAATATTGTATATTCATTTTATCATTGAGCTGCACACCATAATACTTTGGTTTTGATATTTTTTCTCTTGTTCTGGGGGTTCTTCTGATGGCTTTTTTTACTGAATCACCGATCCTCAATTCACAGTGAAAAACCAATCCAAATGTTATAGGTAAGCTAATATTGTGTCACTTAAAAAAATGTTAAATCTAAAATAAAATAGGACTACTGTAAATACAAAACTTGTTATAAAGGTTTTAACTTGGTTTATTACATGGATAGATATCATCCACGGAATTAAAACCCAAACTAAATTTTAACTTGCAAGGAATATTACTTGCACATACTAGAAACCAAGAAAATTAATCCCCATAGAATCAAATTTAGATACAAAACCACAAAATGTTACCCATAAATTACTGTTTTTACTGTACTTTGCTGGATAGGATTTTAAAGATACACTTTTAAAATCTACAACAATATATTTCATCTAAAAAATATTCTATAAAAATACTTGATTTTAGCCTAGTATATTTGTATTGCTGAGAAAATTGAACTACTGAATTATCTTGACTCAATGCAAAAAATTCAACCAAAGCAGTTTACATTTTAAATATTTTATATATACACTGCCAGCTGATGAAATAATAAGAGATTACAATAAAAATGTATATTTGTAAACATTTTGAACGGTATCAACACATACTAAGATTTTATTTTTAGAGCTTCCATGAAATCTAGTGTGACAGTGTTTGCCAACTCTTCCAACATTTTTTTTTTTTTATAATAATTTCATAATGTCGACAACTAACATTACAGCTATCTTGACATATTCATACAACCTCTTTTTACATTTTGATAAATTACAAACAAAAATGTTGAAAATATGATTAAACCCATTACTTGGTATATAAAATTGAAAAATTATCACTAAATTTGTTCAGAATTATGTTAATTTCATTGATAAATGAATAGGATGATTAAGTCTGGACAGTGGTCAGTTTAGGGCAAGGATGTCATTTTTTTTGGATCTCAAATTGACTGACCGATTTCACCAGAAGAATTGAAGTTTCCTATCAAATTTTAAGTATGCCACAGCCTGACATGAAACAACTACCGTATTTCCTCACTTCAACATCTTTGTATATGGCATCAAGTGTTCAATGACTTTTTGTGTAAGACTAAAGGTTCTATACAATATATCAATGGGAATTCAAAATTCTAAAAAGGAGGCAATTTTGACAGTTTCTCCTTCAATGCATGAAGTTTGAAAGCCTACAGTAAGTCTGTTAGAAAAAAAATTCAAATCTGTTATTACTGTTTTCTGATAGATCCCAAGTCTTATAATCAGCAGGGGAAATTCTTTGATATATTACCGTTAATAATACTGCAGGATTATTGAATTTAGATTATTGAATTTAAGAGAACTAAAAAGTGTCATTATCATACCTTCTCCTTTGGAGATTTGGTCAGCCTATCATAGAGCTTTAAAAAATCATTCCCAAGATTTTCAAGATACACTTATTTTAGATTTTTTAATAATAAAACAAAGAATCATATTTGAAATCCCAAAGTTAAAACAAATTGTTGACACAGAGATATGTCTCGTCTGTTGACAAAAAATTCAGAAAAAGACAATTTGATGGACAGCAACATTGCTAATCAATTCAAAGTCACTGGACCATGAACTAGTGGGCAGAGCCTCGAAATGGTGGAAGTGGTTGACAAACTGAGTTGTACAGACAGTAAAGTAACTTCATAGAAAATATCATTGTCTACTTTAGGTAGTTCCTATCAAACCTCACTTAAGCAAGAAACTTAACATTAAAAATTGGTAACATATTCAAAGTCACTGGACCATGACCTAGGGGGCAGGGCCTAAATATTGTTGTCAAACTGATATGGTCTGATAGTAATGCAACTTTAAAAAAAATATCATTGATCTATCACAAGTAGTTTCTATAAAACTAGTTTAAACAGAAAACTTAACATTGAAAATTGCTAATAAATTCAAACTCCCTGGACCATCCACTAGGGGGCACAGCCTCAAAATAGTCGTCATACTGATATGTACTGACAGTAATGCAACTTCATACAAAATATCATTGATCTACCAATACTATGTTTAGGTGCAAGGAGTTGATTAAAGAATGTTATTATATACTTAGTAGTAAATACAAGCAAATTGTATGTGTAACACAATTGATGGCAATGTATCAGCCATCTGTGATGATATCGATATCAGTCACTGTTGCAAAGGCTTTATCAAATCCTTAATCTGTATGACGTCACGTAATCTATATCAATCACGGCTACAAGGGCTTTATCAATATCACTCTCTGTATCAGCCCTCAACCAATATAATCCGGGATTATATTGGTGTTTCAGGTTGATACAGGTGTGATATTGAAAAAGTCATATGATATTCTCTATATAATCTGTCTCAAAAGTATATTTTATGACTATTAACAAGCATTCCAATGGGAAAAGCAAGAAAAGTACGTGTCAAAATTTTAAAAGGTAGTTCATGCATCAGTAAAAATTACATGCAGAGTATTAAAAAGAAGATAACTGAACCAAAATCTGGTATGATTTTATTTCACAAAGGTATCATATGTTTGGAAATAACAACTAAGCTATTATTGTTCATTAACTGCTGAAAACATTACAGACGATCATAGTTTAAAAAAAGGTGATTTAAAATTTGAACTGAAACCAGGGTAAAAATAAGTTTTACAACACCTATAAAATCTTAAAATGCCATCTTAAAAATACAAAATTAAAGCATATGCTGCAATAAAAGTAAGCAGACATTTACAGCCCATCACAATCTATATCTGGGGAATTCTGAATACTGCCACTGTGTAATTGTGGACATACAGTATAGGAAACTGCACATTTACTGTTATACCTTAAGCAGAAAGGACAACAATCTATCATATATATACAACGCTCTAGAATAATATTTTCAAGTCTCTAAGGTAACAAACCCACATGTATTTTTCCTTTCTGACTGTATATGCTGGAAGCTTACCTCTGACTTGGTTTTCTCCTCAGAGTTAATATTATTTACATTTTCTGTTGGATTCTCCTCAGAACAATAGTTGTTAACATTCATTTGATTGTTCTGATTTAACTGTTCTTGTAGAGCCCTATTATCAGTACTTATTTGTTCATGATTACCACTAGGGTCCTTCACATGGACATAACAGTCATTATGACTACAATTCTGACTATCATTGTCAATATGTTCATTATGCTGCCTATTTTGTTGCTTGTTATTGGTCCATGTTTGCACAACCTTTGGGGCATCATATATATGAGATGAAGGGGTACTTGTGTCCAAAGTGGTCATTGGTTCCTCAGCATAGTGGCCCTCCAATGTCGTATATGACCTTGGAATGTCCATCTGAGGTGGTTTACTACCCTTTTCGGAAAAGGTGTCAGGATTTTCTTGATAATATACATTCTCCACTGTAGGAGGTATAAAAGGGAATACTGACTGGAAAATTGGTTTGGGTTGTTGAACTTCACGATTGTAAAGCTTTTTCTGCTGCTGCAAGCAAAATACAATGCCAGATTTGTCTTTGAGAACTCAAGCTTGAAAACTAACAATCCTAGTTCTCAGACTTCTTCAGCTCATATGCCAAAAAAACATAAAATATTGTGAAACATCAAGATCCATTACATGCAAATAAGCAATATATGTGCAGTTGACATAATGACAAGAAAGCAGATTCCAATCTATTTTCTAGTCTGCCTGACACGGAACACTATGACAGTACTTTATAAATCATATTCAAATAGTAACAAATTCAAGCATCATTATGCTATACTATTTAAGCTGCAAGCTGATATAAATGCCAGTAGTGTTTCTGTAAATTGCCCATTTATCATTTCATAAGGAATAAGGAACTCTTTTTCTAAATAAATTGAAATGTGGCCCTCTTGGATGCATAAAATACTAAAGATGGGTTACTACAGCACAATGACACCACTCACCATATTAGGTACTTTAGCCCCATGTTTCAGTTACAAAATCACTATGACAATCTGATAATAATATTTACTAGCTCTTTTTACCAACAACAAAGAGAAAATGAAGAAAACTTCCATTCAAGATATTATACTTTTGTAATTATGTTAAATGAAATCTACCAAATGTGAAGAATTTGTTATGTATGACCACTCGAAAAGAATTCATTTAACTCAAATAACAATTCTAAGTTGCAATCTTGGTTAATACAAAAGCCTAGAAAGTATAGCTATCTATTTATTAGAATAGAAAGGACAATTTGATCTATCTTCCTTGGTGTCATTTACATTTTCCTTTTGGTCACTCTGTGGCTATTGTGATCTAGTGAAATGTCCATTAACACAATGTACTCCCACATTAAAAAGTTAAGTCTAAACATTTATTTTTTTTTGTCAATTATATATTATCCTGACTATAAAGATTACAAATATAGTCCACAAAATTAAAAAATTCACTCACTGTCAATGCTCTATTGCTCAGCAGGCAATAGTTCAAATTAAGCTGACATTTGGGAATTATTTGATTGGAAGGGCCGATTTTTTTCTAAACCGGCATCTAAAATCATGCACTTTGTATCTCATCAGATCATAATGTATGAACAGCATTCCAATGTCCACCTCAATGCACATATTATGTATGTGTTCAAGAACAATAACTCAAAAATCTTTGGTTCTTAACTTTTTAATAAATATTTGTGTATGCATGAGATGGCTGACAATGTTATGTTCCATATAATTTTAATTTCCAAGTGGCATAACTCCTGAAAAAAAAACATGATCAGATCTCTTCCATGACCTTGCTGATATAAGCTTTTGCAGTTACTTTCATAAAATTTATTAAGAAATATTGGTGTGAGAGTGCTAACAATACAATGTTCAATATAAATTACATTTCCAAAAGTCATTACCGGTAATCCTGTAAAAAAAACTTTTCAGGGCTTATTCTAGAACTCACCAAGATATACCCCTCCACATTGCTGATAAGAACCTTTAATATAATTTTCACAACAATCCTACAAGAAATGTAGGTGTGAGAGTGTGTACAATACAATTTTCTTTAAAATCTATATTTCCAAGGGGCATAACTCTTTTTTAAAATAGTTGATCCGTACTGATTTTCAACCTTGTCCAAGATATTACTGATATAAACTTTTAATATAAATTTCATTAATATCTGGCAAGAATTGTATACTTGAGAGCACTAACAATTCAATTTTCTGCAGAATTTACATTTCCAAGGGACATAACTCCTAAATTGTACTTGTGAGAGTGCTTACAAGACCTGACGGATGAACACCCGTTATTTCTATGTACAAAAATTACAAAAAGTAACATCAATGATGTCCTATTCAAGTCATTTGTAGAAAGAACGAAGCCAATATACCTTTTCTGCTTAAAATGAATAAACAAAATGGGCAAAATTTGTTACGGTCACTATTTTAAGTGTTTACAATCAAAAAAACATTACAAACCAAATTGTTGAATACTGATTATAACCAAAAAAATGTTCACAAATTGAGTTGATGCAAAATAATAAAAAATATACATTATGTAACTAAGTGATACACAACAGCAAAAGGTTTTTGTTACTCTAGTATTATTCAAACTAAAATATAAAATAATCTTTAATTATTAATAAAATGCTCCGCAGGGTGCAGCTTGATATGACCGCAGAGGTCGAACCCTGAACAGTTGGGGCAAGTATGGACACAACATTCAAGCTTGATACAGCTTTGCATTTGGATTGTGATTAAATATTTGACACAGCATAGGTTTCTGACACAGAATGAATGTGGTCTAAGAACTTAAAAATTTTAAATTGGACATTCACCTATTATGGTCCAATATCCAAAATCTAAATACATGGTTAGATTCAGCATATCAAAGAACCCCAAGAAATCAATTTTTGATGAAATCAAACAAAGTTTAATTTTGGACCCTTTTGACCTCAATGTGGACAAAGTTGATAACGCGGCCCAAAAATCAAAAATCTAAATCCATGGTTAGATTCAGCATATCAAAGAACCCCATATATTCAATTTTTGTTGAAATCAAACAAAGTTTAATTTTGGACCCCGATTTTGACCAACTTGAAAACTGGGCCCATAATCAAAAATCTAAATACATGTTTAGATTCAGCATATCAAAGAACCCTAAGAATTCAATTTTTGTTAAAATCAAACTAAGTTTAATTTTGGACCCTTTGGACCTTAATGTAGACCAATTTGAAAACGGAACCAAAAATTAAGAATCTAAATACATGGTTAGATTCGGCATATCAAAGAACCCCAATAATTCAATTTTTGATGAAATCAAACAAAGTTTAATTTTGGACCCTTTGGACCTCAATGTGGACCAATTTAAAAACGGGGCCCAAAATCCAAAAACTAAATACACGGTTAGATTCAGCATATTAAAGAAACCCAAGAATTCAAGAATAAAACCCCATTGAAATTGGTCAAGAAATAAGCAATTTATACGAAGTATTATCTTCTTTTGCACAATACTGTGCAATTAAATATTTCTTGCTATTGCGCAATACTGTACAATTGACAATTTCTTGCTATTGCGCAATATTGTGCTATTGGATATTTCTTGCTATTGCGCAATACTGTGCAATTGAAGATTTCTTGCTATTGCGCAATACTGTGCAATTGAAGATTTCTTGCTATTGTGCAATACTGCACAATTGAAAATTTCTTGCTATTGCACAATACTTATTATATAATAATTTACACATCCTGTTTGGTGTGTATCTCCTACCATATCATTATTATTTGCTTTTAAATATAAATCAGAAATAACCAACTTAAAATGGAAAATTTTAAAAGAAAAAAAAAATGAAAAAAAAAAAAAATCCCCCCCCCCAAATTTTTTGAACCCCCTTATGATTCATCACCCCCAAACTCAATCCCAGCCTTCCCTTTGTGGAATGGTACCTTGCAGTACAATTTCTGAGAGATCCATACACTTGAACACAAGTTATTGTCTGGAAACTAGAAAAATGTGTTTTTAGGCCCCTTTTTGGCCCCAAATTCCTAAACGTTTAGGGCAATTACCCCCAAACTCAAACCCAGCTTTCCCTTTGTGATATGGAACCTTGTAGTACAATTTCAGAAAGATCCATACACTTACACACAAGTTATTGTCCTGAAACTAGAAAAATGCTTGTTTTTTGCCCCTTTTTGGCCCCTAATTCCTAAAATATTGAGGCAATTACCCCCATCATCAATCCCAGCCTTCCCTTTGTGATATGGTACCTTGCAGTACAATTTCAGAGAGATTCATACACTTGAACACAAGTTATTGTCTGGAAACTAGAAAAATGCTTATTTTTGGCCCCTTTTTGGCCCCCAATTCCTAAATGTTTCGGCAATTACCCCCAAACTCAATTCCAGCTTTCCCTTTGTGATATGAAACCTTGTAGTACAATTTCAGAAAGATCCATACACTTACACACAAGTTATTGTTATGAAACTAGAAAAATGCTTGTTTTTTGCCCCTTTTTTGGCCCCTAATTCCTAAAATTTTGAGGCAATTACCCCCAAAATCAATCCCAGCATTCCTTTTGTGATATGGAACCTTGTGGTACAATGTCAGAGAGATCCATACACTAACACACAAGTTATGTCTGGAAGTTACAAAAATGCTTATTTTTGGCCCATAATTCCTTTACTGTTGGTAACCTAACCCCCAAAATCAATCCCAACCTTCCTTTTGTGGTATTGAACCTTGTGGTAAAATTTCATAGAGATCCATTCACTTAAACTAAAGTTAGAGTGCGATAACCAATGTGTCTTCGGACGACGCCGGATGACGCCAGACGACGACGACGACGCCAACGTCATACCAATATACGACCACAAAAATTTGTTTGCGGTCGTATAAAAACCAGTAAGTTATAGCCTAAAATGGTCAACTCAAATGTTATTTTGAATTTTTCTCCTGATATGTAATTTTGTTATTGTTAAGTTTCTAAGGAGGCAGAAAATATACATTTTTTTTAATTACAAATCACTATCAAAATGAAGGAACATCCTTATGAATAACCTAAAAGAGAAAAAAACACCAACTGTCTTGTTCTTAGCACAATTATTATGTACATTTCTTTTGCAATTAATTAAAGGGTTATGAAAAAAAAATAAGAATTTGCAAGCTATGTCATGCAAAGTTTAGCCCACTTGTATTCAACTTTGCTGAAAATTTCATGCTCACTTGGTATAAAAAAAAATCAAAGTACTATCAAACAGGAAGAAATTGTTCCGCAGACAATAGAAATAGTAACACAGTACAATTTAACATTATAAATGGATGGACAGCCAAGGTGATTGCCATATACCATCCATTCTATGAGTGAGGGTAAAATATATCTATTAATTTGAAACAGTAACAGTAAAGATTTAGTAAGCATAGAATCCAAGTAAAGAATACCATCAATACTTATGGTGTGAGAGATAATATGAATTTTTGTGTTCTTATTTTGTAATATTGAACTATAAAAATTCATGACTGACAATATGTCTCATCATTGAGCAATGTCACAACACAGAATTCTGATAAAGTCCTAAGCAGAAATATATTAAAGAGCCCTTCAACATCTCATGCATTGCCTTAGTCACCTAAAGGGGTTTCTTTTTCATTTTAAAGAAGAACAAGACCAATAATTATCTGGACCTGTGTCACACAAACTGTTTTGTAACACCAGCAGCATTAAAAGGAGAATAAAAAATCATAGTCTAGTGGGCAATACATGCAATAACATTCAAACGCATTATGCAAGCACATATAAGGAGATGCATATGAAACAAGGTACTCTTTTAAAAATAATTGATTGGCACTGATTTTCAAAGTTATCTGAGACACTGTTGATATAAACCTATGATTTAAAAGTTTCATTAAAATCTTGCAAGAATTGTACACATGAGAGCGCTAATAATTCAATTTTCCATACAATTAATATTTCCAAGGGGTATAACTCTCTTAAAAATAATTGATTGGCACTGATTTTTAAAATTGTCTGAGACATTGCTCATATAATTCTATGATACAAGTTTTATGTAAATCTGGCAAGAATTGTACACTACTATTTCCCTGCATAGCGTCAAGCGGGGGAAAATAAGCAAACAAGCCATGTTTACTTTTGGCAAAATTTCATAAATAATGACCACGTTCAACAGCCATTTTTTCATAATGAATGTCTTTGGTAAGTGTACACATATATGGTGAACATCATCAAATATACAAGATTTTATAAATGTCTTGTGAGGTATAACAGTAAGCATTAACACAGGTCTATTGAAGTGAGAAAGACTATGATAATAATTTGCAAGGCTATGAGTCTGAGAACAGGATTGTCAGTTAAACTATATAACAGTGCAAATAACAATGGGTTAGTAAGTACAAGCAGTGCTATCATAACCTTTAACCATCTTTGTTCAGTTTTAATTACTAAACAATCTCTTGGAAAAAAATCAAGACTGCTAAATTTATTTTAACCTTCAGTACCAAAGAATATATCGGTGAATAGTTTAAGAATGGAATAAAATTTAATTAAACATAAATAAGTTCTGCACATTTAATACTGTTTATTCAGAAATTATTGTTTTAATTAATGCGAATTATGAGACTGGGTGAGTATCACAAAAATAAGAACTAACATTCTGATATCTAATACATATATCTGTATATGGATTATCTGTTATCCCAATAACTAATATGGCATCTTTGTTCATTCATCAATAATAGCAATAATTAATCCATGTAATAATTTCTGAATTTACAGTAGTCATAGAATGTTTCCATGATTATGAAAATTAAATTCACAACTGAACTATACAACTTACTACACTAACATCCAAATATTCTTATACTGGAACTAAACTATTTACACCCTATACAACCGACCCTTATTATTATGTTTCAAACCCAACAGATACAATCATGAACCACGGTTGTTTTTTAGAAACAAGGAAACATAGCATTTTTATTTTAATTCTTCACTTCTTGAATGAAATAGTCTGTTAATTGTTTCAGTTTAATATTATTGAAATAATTAATGACCCATGTTTTATACTATTTCTTTGAAACAGATTTTCTGTTTATTTTCTTTCTGTAATCCTCACTGAATTAAACTGATAATACTTAAGAAAAATTATCCATAGCTAGTATGTGCAATTTACTAGATTAAAATTTAAGCAATTATGTTTTTGGAATGAAATTTTATGAGGTACACCTTGATGACAATGACATCATGGACCATCCGTTTAAACAACGTTACATGATGTATCCTTAGTCTCTGTATGCTTTTAAATTAAAACAGTATCAAACAGGTAATTACAAAGATTTCATACATGTAAACTAGAACGCTCATTAATAGAATACTTGTTAAGGTTTATCATAACTTGTTCTTGAAAAATAGGAAGATTTTTTTTATTTTGCTTATATTCATTGAAAAAAAGATCATAACCAAATCTCTTTTTACAAAAGGGCATACAAATTTTTAGATTTCAGATTCAAAATAAGAAAATTAATCACTACAAATGTCCATTTAGACTAAATATGAACAAGCATTCTGTGAGTATTGCATGGCAATACATAGTCACCTACCGGTTAAAAATTCATTGTATTGGAACAAAATTCTAACTTGATCTATAACTTGTCATGGTGTAAACTATATAACAAATGTCAAGTCAATATCTTCAAGCATGACGAAAAAAAGTGTTGAAAACTGATTATTTAAGTGAATTTTGTAAGTCAAAGGACCATATAACTCTGCACAAAATCATCAGACCAGAACGAAATTCGAACTTGATCTGTAACTTGTCATGATAAAAATATATACCAATTTTCAAATCAATATCTTCAAGCATGACGAAAAAAAATGCGGAAAACTGATTATTTGAGTGAATTTTCTATGGCCAAGGACCATAACTCTGCACAAACTCATCAGACCAGAACAATATTCAAACTTGAACTTAACTTGTCATGATTAAACTATATACAAATTATCAAACCAATATCTTCAAGAATGACAAAAAAAAGTGCGGAAAACTGATTATTTTAGTGAATTTTCTAAGTCAAAGGACCATAACTCTGCACAAAATCATCAGACCGGACAAAATTCGAACTTGATCTGTAACTTGTCATGTTAAAACAATACACCAAATATCAAATCAATATCTTCAAGCATGAAGAAAAAACGTGTGGAAAACTAATTTGCCGGACTGACGAATGGACAGACAGACAGACTGAGTGCAAACCTAAAGTCCCCTTCGACTTTGTCGGTAGGGGACTAAAAACAGAATGCCAGTCAATTAATTATGTAGGGATAAAATAAAATGAAATACCTATTTACTTCCTGACATGCTTTTAAGTATATAGCCACGTGTGATTGTATCCATCAGGTTTTGAACAAATGATACAGGTCAGTTGTACAGTGTGATTAAATCAATGTGTAAATAAATAGAAAATTTAAAGACAGTTTACATAAATAGTAATATTTCTTACCGAAGTTGTTAGCATGCTCATCTGTAAGTAGGAAATAAAAACATAAAGGTTAAATTCATGATGCATAAAAATACTTCAAATAATAATTCATGTCATAAAATATTTAAAAAGTATATATTTGAAACTTCACACAATTTATGCATTTTCAAATAAACAGTTGCAGCAAATACACATTATCAAAATCAACCATTCATATATGCCAAAGCAATTTAATGTTTTTAAGAAATCAAATGGGAAGATTTCTATAGTTATGATTCCTTATTTAATTTTTCCAACATTAGAAATCTCATACATAAAAGCAAAACAAACATTTGAAAATAAATACAATGACCTGAACACATCCTAACTAAGCTATAATGAAATAAAATTAAATATATAAATAGATCATCTGAGTAGTCAAAACTACTATGTATAAATTTGCATTGTGTGCATTTTCATCACATTTTGGGTGATCAACTACTGTTTAATAATCATAATAAAACTAGAAATTCCAAAGACACAAAGACAGTAACATACATTGTACATAAGAACACTCATCATGCAACAGCAGATTATAGTCATCAGTACAAACAAACAAACAAACTGCTATTTCCACAAATTTCAACTAATACATCATGGAAGGTGATAAATATTTAAATATGAAATTCCCTTTTTATGACAACAAAGATGAAGTTATTCCAAGATAATACAGAACGAACAAGAACAAAAGCAGTGCATGGACATGTATGGGGTTTACCTTCCAAGGAAAAAGACAGAAAAATTTAGCACAGCTGTAAGGTAAAAATCTCCACCACCATGGCCTTTTGTGTCTTCCATATGTTGTGATGCTCATTCCTTTGTCTGGTATACGATCATATGCTACCTTACATTGCAGCATGAAAGTTACAAACATTAAATATCACTAGCTCTGTATTCTACAGTCTACGTTCTGATTCACATCTTGATGGTGTTCATTTCAAATGTGCCAGTATTTAAAAAAATCAATTTCACATATTTAAGGTGCCTGTTAATATTTATTTCTGTTAACCAAACTCATGTTAGTGCATCTTGACAGAACAGTTTTTGAAAGACTTGCTGAAAATTTCCTTTTCTTCATTTAAGGAAAAATAAGTAAAAGATTATATTGCAATTATTGATAAACAGGACAATTCCCATTAAAGAAATGAACTGAATTGAATTTACACTACAAATTAGAGCTCTATTAATTATCAAATTTTATGTAATTTAGAAGATTACAATTAGCAATTCTATTCTAATATTATATTCACAATACACTTACTTCAAACATGTGAGAAAACATTTTTGCAGCAAAATTAAAAATTTGAAGACCTCTGGATGTCCTTAGAATGTTTGTTGTGTTGTTGGGTTACTGACTCATTGAAATATACCTTATATCCCTTTTTATTCATATAAATGTTATCTGTCAAATTTACTAGTCACCATTACCATAATTAAACAATATATATCACATCAAATACTTTTAAGTAAATATCACAGATGGATAAATCATACTAATTTGCCTTGAGATAAATAAAACTGTGAGTAATACCCCAACCCCCAAATTTAATTATCTCCGTTTTAACATGTTGTACAGGAATCATATTCTTTTATGTACATCTTCAGATAGTGTTCTGCAACTGTTTTAAGTTTCAACAATATTTGACCAACTGTTTAGAAGTTGTATATACAAGAAATAACCCTGTTGTGATTTCCAATTGCCTCCCCTGGCTCGAGAACACAGTTATTTCGTAGTGCATTTCTTTTAGACAATAAATTCAAATTAAAAAAATCGCACCTGCTCTATCTCAAAAAGATTTTTACAGTGTAGTGTACTACTATTGGGACAAATAATATCAAAATTATAGAAAAGTGGACAAAATCACTACTTAACATAAAGATTCAGCACCCAAACTATTTTAACATGTTATTTCATCCCTTTACTTAATATTTCATGCATAAAATATAAAGAAATAAATTTGGAAAGTGTATGAAAAAAATTTGCAAGTTATACACTGTCCACACTAGGGACTATATTTGTAGACAACGAAAATCTAAGGACAGTAACTGTGTCTTCGGACCTAATCATATAGAACAAGAATTATATTCCTTTATGCAACAACTGTGTAAAGTTTCCTCAATATCCATCTAAACCATTGATAGTTGAGCTTACAAGAGACTATTACCAGGTATAGCTTTATAGAAGTTTAATTATCTCCCATTTTAACATAAAGGACCACTATCACATTCCTTTAAGTACATCCTCAAGTGGTGTTCTACAACTGTTAGTTTCATCAAGATCTGTCTTGCTGTTAAAAAGTTGAGCTTACAAAGCACCAGATCAGGTCAGACGAACAGAACAGTTAAATTCCTGTTTTCATTTTGTTATGAATGATTTTTATTCTCAGCAGATGGAGCCATATTGGCTCGGACAATAAAATATCTTGTAATAACGCAACCCCCCATTATTAAATACAAGGTGTTGCAAAATTAAATGTCGATATCCAGGGATAAAAGAAAAAATAATGTAATCTTTATTAACTGAACATACAGAAAAAAATAGTAATGATAGCAACTGCAAATATTAACAAAAATTCAAAATGCAATAAAGTCCAAATTTTTCAAATAAACTAAAATGAATGAAATTATTTATATCAACAACAGTTACTATACCCAGTTATTCTTATGGTAATTTGTTTTCTGTTAATAGTCACATAGAGAGAATCAAAACACAAGAAGCAGGTATTAAAACATAAATTCACACTCATGCAATGTACACAAATGTAGAACAATTGAGACAACAGTTGAGAGGAAATTGTCAGAAAATAGTCTTGTTATCATTATTAAACATCTAACAGCGAGAGTCAACGTATATCTTAAGTTGCTTTACAAACCAACACTTAGTGAAATGTTTAGTATTTATTCAAAACTTTCTAATATCTATTAAATTGCATTACTTGTAAAATTTATTAGAGTGCATAATTCTAAATTGTAAGCTTACAAATGTTTTCTAAAATAAATAAAGGTATTTTGATGTGAACATTTTTATATTGACAGATATGTCAATGATATGATCATTCTAGAAACTCACAACTAGACGTACTGCAACTACCAGTATTTAAAAAAGTTTATACTTGTTTTTCTCTTGAATTTCAACTGTCTTTATTTCAAACATACAGTAGTAACATGTGTGGCTATAAAAGCTTACATTATCCGTATTTTTGCAAGTATTTCATTAAAATTGTATGATTTTCTCAGTAATCACAACAGGAATGCATTGTAAGAGAGATTTGTTTTCATTTTAGATATAAACATAATTAAGACAATCTTTTTTATATTAATTAGAACCCATATATTTCATGCATCATACTGAAACAAAAATGGGCAACACACAAACAGATTATACATGTTAAAGAGTTCATAATACCAACCAGATTTGGATCAAGCGATTGTTGTACATCTTCCATAAATATTGTCCACCACAACTGTAGGAATTCTTGGTTGTGGCCAGAATCTGGTAGTGGGGTTACCTCCCCTGATGAGGTATTAAATGGCTGGTGCCACGGTTTTGTAGCACCAATAAAATGAACTATTTTTACATTATTTTTAAACCTGTAAAAGGAGAAAGCATAAACATTTAGTAACACATATCTATGACTACTAGAATTGTTGACTTGTACTCGTATGCAATGGGTTGAATATTTATCAATGGAAAAACTCTCCTTTTTTTGAACAATTAAAATTGAAAAACACCTGTTCAAATGCTGTCCTTCCAAAAAATACTACCTTTCAACACTGTTAGCATTCTATATATAATTGTCAATGGCTCTACAACACCAACTGTTTGTTAAAGACTCAGATTCTTATTTAACTTCCTTTAAACTATTGTAAGCTTGATGAAATTGATCAAATAAGCAAATAAACACTACCTAATTATTTGCAATCTTAAGAGTCAATGATAAATGAATACAATCTGCTAAATGTTGGTGCATGTACATATTTCTATTATTTGAAAGGACCAAAATATCAAATCAATTATTTCAATGTTTTACATTACTATACCCCACTTAGCATTTCCACTTGCACTTATAATTAAAGAATTAGCCAAAGGAAACTGTTCATGTTCATGGATTTTGTAATTGTTTTTTATCATATGAAATCACAAAATTTTTCAATTTTATGGAACATAATTCTTGAACATTAAAGGTAAAAGTGAGATGTCATGCAACATTTTTTTGTATATATCATTCAACTCATCAACAACTTTTAAAATCAACAACTCTGAAATTATTAAAATGCAATTAATAGATAATGCATATCAAAACAGGAAAATGTTAGTTTGATATGAATATGATCCCTACTTGTTCAAGACCAACCTAAATGTAGCGTGCATAGAGAAGCAGCAAATCCCAATTTTCAAGTCTTTAGTTTGACTTGCCAGAGGATCGAACCTAGAAACTCCCAACACTCCAAGCAATCAAGCATTATGTGCCCCACTGTTGTATAACTTACTGTTTGAAAGCTGGAAGATAACTGTAGAAAGCTTGTGACACAACATTATATACAAATGGCAGATGCCGTGATATGTCTTGGGTAGCCCATTCACGAAAAAACATATTGAGTAATCCTTGATCTCCACCTACAAGTAAATTTTTCTTTTAAGAAAACAAAACATGTATAAACACAGCTTTTTTAAATGTAAGATATTCACTAAATATACTTCCTACTGTGTATTCATTTATTGTGTAGATGTAGTGGATTTGAATCATTTTGGGATAAGCTGTTTCATCCGACATATATGAAAAAGACCTGTCTTAACAAAAAGACTAAGTAAAAGTAACATAAATTGACCACTTCGTTTCATAGGTTGTACTAAAATTGTTCATCCATTTGGATATCAAAAGGGTTACCTTGCAAAAAGGATGAAATCAAAATCCCTGTCTTTCATATTCGACGGGTCTACTTTGTGGGTAGAACAGTGTTCTTTTCTTGCAATGTGTTTGTATTTTTTTTTTTTCACATGATTTCCTGCTTGAAGCTCATTATTTACTGTGTTTCCTAAAAATTGATGGCCCATAATTGATTACTACCATTTCATTTCAACTCTGCTGGATAGTTGTCTCATTGACAATCATACCACATCTCCTCATTTTTATATTAACAATTTAAAGTTGTTTTTTTTTTTAAATTTCATTTTATTTCCCATTTGAAATTGCACATACCCCCCTCTTTTACTGACTTAAATGACAATTACATGCATTATATGATTAAAACATAAGAGAAAATATGTTTGGTGCTAAAATTCAAGAAAAGATGACAAAAAAAATTGTACAAATGTTGTAATAAAGTTAAAGTGCACAACAGTAATTCTAAACATATTTGTCTTGTAATAAGATTTGTGCTGCTTTTGCAATTTCTCTTGATCCATTAAAGCATACAAAAAAAAAAAAAAAAAATCATCTTTCAAGTGCAATCCTACAAAAGGTTAATTGATGATTTCGTCCATGGTCACTTATTTGTAGATATCATTGTTCTGGTCATTTTTACTGTTTAAAATTTTTCTCTGTCTATTATAGTTTCAAAATAATAACCAAAAACTTTGAAAAATGCAATAAAATGACATTTCAGGGGCAACAACTACAAACTGGATTGTCCTATTTTTCTGAAAATCACACGAAATAAACTTGATCTGCTGATGATTTTTATTTTTAGGAACAGAATCCATATGATGGATCATCGGTATTCCCAGATACAGTTTTTAAACTAGATACCCTATGCAACATTCAGATAAAGTTTGGAAACATTTCGTACAGTTGTTTCAGAGAAGAAGAATTTCTAAAAAGTTTATGATAAGGGATGCCAAGTGACGACACAACTTCACATAGATCTTTTATCAATGATTTGATACATACAAGCTTTGACCATTTAAGCATCCCTTTTCATTATGTTAATTGAAGGAAATCTAAGTCAAAATGTTAGCTTATATTGTCAGAAATTATTTGAATATAAAAATGTGTGAGATGGTGTATGTCTCATGCCAAGTTGTTTTCAAGGAATTGAAGATTAACAAAATTATATATCAAAGCAGAAATGGCTTGGTCTATGTTAACGGCTGCCATGATACAATGTTATATTGAACTCCTACCTGAACATTATAAATGTTAGTAAGGCAAGAATTATATGAATTATTCTAATGAACTTTCAAATCACTTATATTGTAAAAAAGGACTGTATAAAGACAAAATTGACAGCATGAATTTTTTTCTCATATCAACAGATAGGAAAGTGAGATGTAGTAAAATGATGCTGAACTTCACAAAAGTTTTGTTTGCTTAGATTCTGTTAGACCTCAAGCCACTCCTATAAAATAAGTTTCCCCCTTAACTGCAGTATTTTATTTTAGCATTGTCTTATGTACAAATCTATTCAGTGGGATATTTCATCCTAAATATGCCTAAAATATTTGTCACTGGAACATCAATTTGATTTTTATATGACATTTTCTGTCTGTATACAGCTAATATACAATGGTATAATAACTTAAATTGATTACTCAAGTCTTTAAACATACCATCAAAACTGCCTTGATCTAAAGCAAACTGCAGAATGGCATTATATGTTTGTTCTGATGGTTTGAACACAAAAACACCTGAATTAAAACAATCTGGCCATCCAGCATCTGGAGCTGCTGATAATTCTTCTCGGTTGAATAATTCATCTACATTTTGTAAGACCTAAAATTAAAAGAGACTAACATTAATAAACAGAGACTGTGTTCACCAACTTGTTAAAACATGTAGAAATTTAACAAACATAAAAAGAATGATAGCAAAGTACTATTGTGAAAATATCATTTACAAAGTATGGATTTTACTGCTATGAATTGTTTTCCCCCATATCTCCTATTCTTTTCGATCAGAACTATACAATGAGCAAAACCTATACCCTCCATTAAGCTATAAAAGGCCCTGACATGAAAAAATTAAGGACCTATTCATGTCTTTAAAAAAATAATAAAAGAAGAATGTGTTTGAGGACACGAATGCCCCTGCTCAAGCTTTGCAATTTTCCAAGTTAAAAAGGGGCATAACTCTAAAACGGTAAATGACTGACTGCCCAAATTCGAACTCTGTCTGTGTGATGTGGCTCTCAGCATTGTGTATGAGTTTCATAAAATTAAGATGAGGAAAAACTTAAGTAAGATTGCGGAAACGAAATTGGACAGACGGAAAGACGGTGGTCAGGCCACACTTAAAAATATTTTGGTTTGCCCAAACCCTACCAAAAGGTAGAGACAGTGGGTAGGTAGGTAGGCATTTTCTTTTTTTTTCAGCAAAGAGAAATTGAAGCGTCAGATGTTTTTTTAGTCTTCATTCCTATCTGATTAAAAAAAAAAAACTTTTTCACATCAGGACAATAAAAGATTTTGAGTAGGCAGCTATTTTCTGGGTAGGAAGGGTTAGGGCAAACAAACATATTCTTTTTTATGGCCTCAAGGGTAACACTTAATGCCCCAGTTGCCTTCGGCTGGGGCATACAAATTTTAAACCTGGCAATGAAATGATTTGTTGCAGGTACTGACATACTTATACTCCTGTCAACAGTAAATATGAAATTAATTATATTGAAGATGAGCATCCTATCTCTGTAGCTGATATCAAGGTCAAGATCTTCAAATATTAAATATTGAGATATATTAGTTTTAATATCACACAAATAAATTATGACCCAGTTTCTTATTTTCATCTAACTGAGCCAACTGCATATGTAGCAGATTGGAACATTCCAAAAATATAAATAATCTGCATAATCTGTGTTGAAAAGAAAAGGTTATGTATGTGAATATGATAAGAATTTATAATGTGCCCTACAATACAATCAACTTTATGATGTCACTGCGCATTGTTGAACAGTGTATTAATTTTCTCACTAATCATTTCTTGATGTAACCAACATTACAATACACTGAATGCTAGTCAATAGACATTGAGCTATTTGTAGGTCAAATATTGAGTTTTCCCTTGCATCACTCAAACTCCTTATCCATTTTACTGATTGTTGCATAGCATTTGTACCAAGTTTGCCAACTCAAAAGCTTATTCTAGTTATTAATTTAACAGCATGATAAGACATTTGATCAACCCACTATATATATAGTAGTAAATGTATTTATAATTCATTAAGCACAGCTAGGTTAGAAATTACAAGATCTGGCAGTAAGCAACATTACAGCAAAACATAACAAGAGTGCACACACTGAAATGTCTCGCCTTCTTTACTAATCACTGATATTATGTTGATAGTCCTAAATATTAAGTTTTATTACAACTGTCACATAAACTTAACATTAACCAAGAAAACTAAACATTGACCAATGAACCATGAAAATGAGGTCAAGGTCAGATGAACCATGCCAGGCAGGCATGTACAGCTAACAATTCTTCCATACAACAAATATAGTTGACCTATTGCTTATAGTTTAAGAAAAACAGACCAAAACACAAAATTTAACACTGAGCAATGAACTGTGAAAATGAGGTCAAGGTCAAATAAAACCTGTGCGACTGACATATAGATCATAACATATTTCCATACACCAAATATAGTTGACCTATTGCATATAGTATTAGAAAAAAAGACCAAAACTCAAAATCTTAACTTTGACCACTAAACCATGAAAATGAGGTCAAGGTCAAATGACACCTGCCAGCTAGACATGTACACCTTACAATCATTCCATACACCAAATATAGTAGACCTATTGCATACAGTATAAGAAAAACAGACCAAAACACAAAAACTTAACTATAACCACTGAACCATGAAAATGAGGTCAAGGTCAGATGACACCTGCCAGTTGGACATGTACACCTTACAGTCCTTCCATACACCGAATATACTACACCTATTGCTTATAGTATCTGAGATATGGACTTGACCACCAAAACTTAAACATGTTCACTGATCCATGTAATGAGGTCGAGGTCAAGTGAAAACTGTCTGACGGGCATGAGGACCTTGCAAGGTACGCACATACCAAATATAGTTATCCTACTAGTTATAATAAGAGAGAATTTAACATTACAAAAAATGTTAACTTTTTTTTCAAGTAGTCACTGAACCATGAAAATGAGGTCAAGGACATTGGACATGTGACTGACGGAAACTTCGTAACATGAGGCATCCATATACAAAGTATGAAGCATACAGGTCTTCCACCTTCTAAAATATGAAGCTTTTAAGAAGTTAGCTAACGCCGCCGCCGCCGTAGCCGGATCGCTATCCCTATGTCGAGCTTTCTGCGACAAAAGTCGCAGGCTCGACAAAAACAATCCTTATCATTCTTCTAAATATAAAGATTGATTGTTGGTGTTTAATGCCAATTTCAGCACTATTTGCTATACTGTGGCGGTCAGTTTTAAGTGGTTGAGGAAGATGAACCATGGACCTTGGCCAGGAAAACTGACAGTCCTAATCAATTAAGATTGAAGTTAACCAGGTTCGAACTAAAAACCTCATTGTTGACAGGCCACTGTCAGCAGATGAACTACTTACACCACTCAGCCACCAATCCCCCTCCAATTATATAGCTTTTCAATCATTACTTCATATTAAATTATCCTTTTTCTATTCATATCTTTAATTGTATGATAATTGAAAATGTTTACTATGTGATTGGAATCCACCATAAGAGAAAATTTTGGGTTATTTCTTGATTTTAAAGGACTCTTTCCTTTATAAAATAAAAAAGAAAGCCAGATTGTGTTTTAGAAAAATAGAAGAATTCCTGAAGTTCCTATTAATTATCAAATAGGTAATTCACATTCTATACAATCACACAACATAAGGATGGCTGACACCAATGAGTACAGAGCCTCAGCATGTAACAATATAATCTAAAATAACTGAGTACTTGTAATTCCTCATCAGACTGGATTTTCAAAATTTATTTTGGGTATTTTATGTACTGTAAAAAAAAAAATCAACCTTTTGTCTACTTTTGAAAGTTAAAAAAAATTGAAGTTTGCCCCATTAGAACCTTGTTCTGACATACCTGAAAATCTATTATTGTATTAAAATGACAGTCTGGCTATTTTCTGTGAAATTACCGAAAGAAATCTTTTCACTTTTGTAAAAGTTAAAGAAAATTTGATGTGGTTTACTCTTTAAAAAAAAAAAATGTACCTAATTTAGTAAAATAAGAATATAGAGCTACAAAATATCTTTCACATCATGATATCAGTTCTCATTAAGCTGAATGAAGGAATAGGTTCAAAAGTACATTTTTGTACAGTTTATTTAAATTAAACTAACTGTGAATGAACTGATTTGGTCTCAATGAAAGGTCATTTAATTTAAGTTTTACTAACATATCACTATTATCATGTGTATTATCTGTCATGTGTACAATTGGGACATTTAAACCTTGTTAAAAAAGAAAATCGGTCAGGATATTAGATTAGAACATGGGAATTTAAAACATATACTATCTACACTTTATTATTTTAACCTGGCCATGAACATAGTGAAGTCATCCACATTATACAACCTGGTCAAAACATCTGCTGTCAAAAGTCACATATTTTGAAAAGACAATTTTCTGTGATTTTTTATACTGATAAATCAATAGCACCATAAATTCATTTACAGATAAAAATACATGGGGATAGGTCAAAGTTCTAAATCAACTTTATACGCTCTTTTTATACTGTCATCAACCACTTCCTCTTCACAGATGATTGTCTGTATTATAAAGGCAAAAATGTTTTCTGCCTAATTGTTAATATTGATTGATTGGTGTTTAACGCCACTTTCAACACTCTTGTGCTATTTCGTGGCAGTCAGTTTTTATTGTTGGAGGAAGCCGGTGTGCCCGGAGAGAACCACAGACCTTAAGATTGGAGACAAGTGCACCTGCCCCATGCGGGATTCAAACTCACAACCTCAGTGTTCACTGGCTAGTGATACAGTAATTCAACTACTTAGACCACTCGGCCACCGAGGCCCCCTTCTGATTGTTAATATATTAGCTGATTATTCCTAAAGCCCTTCCTCCTAACATTGAACAGACCCTGTTTATCATAAATATTACATTGTAAACAACTGCTTCTTTTTTGAGTCTTAAGGCTTTGAATTATACACAAGGGGCGGATCCAGGATTTTTGAAAGGGGGTGGTGCATAATTGAAGAAAATGAAATATATTTTCCAAGCAGGGGAATTGACCTCTATGCCCCTCCTAAACCCACCACTGCAAATGCTAAAAATAACAGAGAAATGGCTTGAAAAGGATTTTATGATGCACTACAACAAATATTGTGTGTTCTCATTTCAAGTGACAGTTTCATGTGTAAACAAAAATATTTCTCAAAAGGACAACCTGCCACACTTACTGGTACACTATCAGCTTTCAATGTTCAGTGAAATGCAAAATTAGCATATATTTTTAACATCATGATGATCATGCATACAAAGTTTCATAACTACCTTAAATCAAATCATTGATGGGGACAGACCAACAGATAGATGTAGATGGACAACATAATGTCCCTAATATGTAGGCCGGGCATAAAAAATGTCCTTAAAGTGACATATCTATATTCCAATATTGACTGATTTTTCAGTCATAAAATGATTCTGCACTGTAAATAAAACCTAAACAAATTGCCTATAATAAACCTACCAGAGTATCTGCATCTAGGAATACTGCTTTATCATACTGAGTAAGTCTCCAACAATGGAACTTTGTGAATGTAACATTGAGATCTGGACGGCCTAGTAATTGAAGATTTGTAGGATCTTGACTGTCTAGTAAATCTACATCATATACTAAATTAAATACTCTTGATAACTGGTCTCTGAAAGAGAACAATTAAATATTTCAATAGTATATTTAATAATTTAACAATTACTACACTAATGTTTTACCAAACTTCCAGAGGAGGGACGACAGCCTAGGTGTTGTGTGCAAAACTTTTCAGGTCACATGGTAAGATTTCGCTTCCTTTTATTTATGTTAAATATTGTAAAAGATCGATTTGTTCATGTTTTAAAATCAAAAGTACTCTATTGCTTTCATAGAAAATAAATCAACTTTTGACATAGAAAGATTTGTCGATGTTGGAAAATTACTTTTAAATAAAATATCGGTCGACTTGCATTCTCTATTGTGTTTTCTGGGTTTTTTTAAACTGATAAATGAAGAAAATTCCAATATTCATAAATATGTATTTCATAAAATGTTGTCCAGAATAAAAACTGAAAATCAATTCAATGTATTCAATAATCGGTATTCTAGTAATGTCCATGCCGTACAAAATAAGCCCCAGGAATGAGCAGTTTAATAAGGGGATATATTTGTGTATTACTGGCATATAATGACAATTACAAATGTACCAAATTTGTTTATAATGAATACATGTATATAATATGTAGGTGAATAGAAGGGTCAGATCATCTATGGTTTCTTTTATTCATACAACAGAAGTTGATCTATATCTAACTGGCTCTATGTTATTTACTTTGACCAAATATTAAGGACACTCCTTCAGTATTGTGATAAAGTATATAAGATTGTAATTTTGGTGATACATGTACAATGATTTTTCAAGATTAAATGAACAGCACCTCAACAGCAAAAGTTCAACAAAACAGACTTCTTGTAACCTAATAAATCACCAGAACTATAATATGAACAAAATGAGCTGTCAGGTATACATCAATGAAACAGAAACATAATGACACAAACAGCTTAATCACATCTAGAAATCAACATGGTCTTCAACAAGAGAGGTGTCTAAACATCATGTCGAGTTCTAAAACGCTTCCAAGTCTAAAAAAGTGTCAATAAATTAAAACAAAGACTACCAAGAAGAGACTATCTGCCATTAACAACAAAATGTCCAAATTACAAAAAATAAACATTTAGAATTTTAGATAGGACGTTGGTTATGAATAAGAGGATTAGGTAACCAGTAACAAGATTCCTGACTTGGGACAAGGAAATGAACATGTGGCAAGGTTGAAATTAAATTTAAACCATCCCTATTTTTAATCTCGATCAGTGGACTAATAAAATTATTTTCATTATCATATTTTGAATGTTATCAGCCTATGGATTACAGTATTTGCAAGAATGTATTTTCCAGTTTACGGTAATTCAAACATACTTCAAGTGTCTGTATGTTAGATATATATCCTTCCTACTAAGGAACACCAAAAAATATAGATATATTTTGTGACATTAAGCAGCATACCAGGACATATTAATGCCAATATTGTTTTTCAGAGTTTCATAGACTGAACATGAGAGAATTTAACAGAAAGGAACATAAAATACAATGTCATTGTACTGAAGACAATTTTCAAGATTATTAGAAAGGAAATCCTCAAGAAGAGATTTCCTTCAAAAAAATTCATCTTACATTTAACATCTAGGAAGGAAATCCTCAATAAGTGACTTCCAGAAAAAAATCATATTGTCAGATTTCAAAACTAAACTTTTTAATTTTAAAATGTTGTTAGAAAAAAAATTTCCAGTAAAAGATAAAGCTCCACTCTTATATTAACCCATTAAAGAATTCAAAGGGACATTTCTTGCAATCTTCAGATAACTTTCTTCAGGTGAAGAGTAGATTTAAGTTTCTCACACAAAATTGTTATTTACACAAATAGTGCATCTATTAACTACATGTACCACCCTCATCTGACATTATACTGCTAATGATAATGTGCCAAGATTAATAACTAATATAACAAGTCTGTTGGAAACAGACAAATATTTACTACGATTTAAAAAAATATCAAGGAGGTGGAAAATTTCTCTTTGATTTTTCAAGAATATGATCTATTTGACATTCAACGCTCAGCATTTCTTATCATGATTTCCCCGATAGTTTTTTATTTTTATATAAATGATGACAACTGATTACCATATTTATAACAGCATTGATGTTGCTATCAGGAATAACTATTTGAACAAATAAAAGAAAACAGTATTTGTACTAGTAACATGTAGCTCAGCTTACTTTCCAATTTAACAGATATGAATGAATCTCTTACTTGAACAGTTAGTTATCAGGAATTGAGAGGTGTATTTTTTGGAAATAACTGTAAAAGTTAAAAATTTTATGGAACTACAAAGATATATTTTTTCCTGATATCTACAAAACTGTATAAATTGGGATTCAAGCAAAATAAGGGTGGGTTGTTACATCATATTCAAATTTCATTGAAGGGATTTCACTTTTCAAAATATCAGATGAATTTTGTTTCACATGACTAGGAAATGTTAGAAATCATGAACCAATTTCTGTTCCCAGGGAGGACCCATTCCCTCTACAAATGTACAAGTCAAACAAAAACCTCTAAATTTTGTGAAGGAAGGGTATAAGATCTGATCAGGAAAATGTACTTGTATAATATTTTAGTAATTTGTTATTTTAAAGTACATAATTTCTAAAATATGCTGTAAATGAATTGGGAAAAACTCAATCAGCACTGCCTTCTCTGTCACTGTTTCATTGCATGATAATATTAGCAATTAGAAGAGTAACACAGATGACTGGGAAGACAATTATTTGGCTCACTTATAAATGTATGTAAAATGTACTACAAATGATGTTTTGATGTAACTGACAAATAAATAGGACAATATATCTACATAACATAAATATCAGATGTCATCAGTCTGTTCTAAGAGAGTAGAAATATTTGTCACGTTTTTTCCCCTACCAGACAAGTTATTCACTTACACCTGAAATACTTGACTACTACATTATATTCAGATAATAAGAGGAACAACACAAAACTTAGTTTTTTACCTATTTCCTGTTAATGATGTGTTGGTGAATTAAGCTGAAACTAATTACCCTGGCACCCACCTATTCTTTATCATTACTTTTTTTTACTGTAAGATATTCATTCATCTTTTTTATACCTACTATATTGGAAACTTAGCTGAGCTACATGTTCTTTTATTTATTCAAATAGTTAGTTTAAGGATGTTACACAAATTTGTGTAAATATATTGTACATTTTTGTACATATATATATATATATATATGAGTCTAAAAGATTGTGTAACAATACCGATAAATAGATGGAAAACAAAACACTAAAAAGTGTTGAATATCATCGCACAAAGATGGAAAAACTGAACAGATGATATAAATTATACAATAATTGCAAATATTTTGGCTCCATAAAATATTGATCTTGTAATTAACCATTATCTTATTGCACATGGTCAGTATCTCCATGGTGTATCTGCTCACCAAATTATATTGCTGTATGGTGATTAGTTTTTAATAAATGGCTGCAGATGTGGATATGGACAGGGACACTTGGGCTACTCAACATGAATCCCCTTCAACTTCTTCGCGGGGAACTAAAACGGTGGGTAAGTTCATGATTTAATGAACATTTATGACTCGATAAGATAACTAAATGTCTGTCAAATACAGTATACATTACATACAACAGGGGTTTCCATGACAGCTAGGTACAGGGCAAATAGCTAATGTACTTGTATTTTGTTGTACTTCTGCTAACCCACTGGCAATAATAATAAGACTTATAACAATATAAAAATAAGATGTGATATAACTGCCAATGAGACAACTCTCCACCAGAGACCAAATGACATAGAAGTTAACAACTACAGGTCACCATACGGCATGTATTTAACACAACTGCAACAACAATTATTTTTCCACTTTCATTTGAAACTCAATGAAATGTCCTGAATCTGAATATGCATGAATAAACATTTGCCAAAAATCATTCAATCAATCATACAGAGTTGTGTTGACTCTTTTACAATACTTATTTCAAAATTACTATCAAATCAGAAAAACTGGATGTCACAAAGAGGGAATTAAATAAATGAAGAATGTGTCCATGGGACACAGATGATGCCCCAGCTTGTATATATCATTACAAAGGGACACAACTCAAGAACGGTAAAAGTGATGCCACCCAAATTGCCAGAAGGACCAGGAGTTATTGTTCCACTAAATTGAACCTCCAAAAGGCAATTAGCATTGTGTATAAGTTTCGTAACAGTTGGTTGAGGCAAACATAAGAGAACGGAAATAAACAAATCAGCAATTTTTCCATTTGTAAAGGGGCATAACTCTAGAAAGGTAAAAGTGACGCCACCCAAATTGCCCGAAGGACCAGGATCTATTGTTCCACTAAATTGAACCTCCAAAAGGCAATTTAATCAGTGATTTTTTTTTTAATCAGTTTTATCAACTTTAAACAATGCAGAAATGAAAGAAGGTTCATTGTTTTGAGCATATGTAGATTCATGATCATTATCTGAGGACAGCTAGCCATTTTATGAATAAATGGTGTCCACTTCACTGGAGCAAGTTCATCAGGTGCACCTAGTTGTATCACCACTCTAGTAGTAGAACAACCTAGCATATATTTAAAATAAAATATAATACTGATAATCGTCTTCAGGCTCATGACAGGACACCTTGTCCCCTATACTTGACTCTGATCTTTTATAGCTGACTATACAGTATGATTTTTACTAAATGTTAAAGGTCGTTTAGTGACCTCTTATTGTTCACACTTTTGTCCTTTGGTCTTAATGGATAGTTGTCTCATTTGCAATCATGCTGAATCTTTATTCTCAGTGTTCCTGCTGCCAGTACCTAAACTGCTGCTATCAGATCATGATCAGATCACCCCACTTGTTACCCCACTTGTGTCATGAGATGTCAATACACCATGTCCTTATCCACAGGTGGATTGCACCAGTTTACTTTTTATTTTCAATTTTCCTGCAAATTTTTATTGATCATCTTCCTGACTTTTCACAAAGAATCTTTATGCCTTAACCAACAAACATCACACAGAGGAATCATTTCAAATGTCCTATTCATAGCCCTTGTGGTGGTAAAGCGTATTCATCTTGTTTGAAATCCCAGAAAATCCACAACAAATGTACAAAGAAAAAAGTAATGACATGTACTCAAAGGCAATGAATGAAAAACTGCATAATTATTTGATGGGAAGTAACTGGAGGTCTCACCATATATACTCTATAAAAAACTCAAAGAACATATTGGAAAGTTGGAGGAAAAGTCAAGTGCAATAGTTTAAAGGGGCATTAGCTATGAGATAAAAAAAAAAAAAAAAAAAAAAAAAGATTTTTTGTTCAATCATTAATGAAAGTGAAATAGTGAAATAATAATTTGTCTTTAGCAGCCAATATGGTGCAATTTTGTCAAAATATGCTAAGGAACATCACTGATGAATTATTCACCTGCAAGTGAATAATTTGAATCACTGAATCCATATTCATGTGACCTTCAATTTAACCTCTTAACTGGACATAGGTTACACATGTATTTAGCTATTAAAAGGAAAAGCATGTCAACATTGAAAGTGAAACAAGGATGAACCACTTGGTTAACTGATACCATCCACAAAAAATCATCCTTATACAAGTAAAAACAATGATAAACATACTTTTAAGCCTACAATATGAAATCAAACAGACTTAGAAAAATTCACTTTCACATGGTCACTATCTATTTATATTTATATCTTGTTATATATATGACCGTCGGCAGTCTTCGGAGGTCATCTTGAAGGTTAATTAGATGACGTCTATACAAAAATACACACGAAAATGTTGATACATATTATAGAGTCCATGCATTGTCAACTGTTTATTTTAGACTTTTAGTAATTTGGATATACAATTTAGTATGTCATAAATCAAATATGAGTCAATTTGAGTCAAATCGGTGAACATGAGCTTGACAGCTAAAGCCCCTTTAAGGGGGCAGATAAATGGAAACATTTACAGGTTATGGTTAAGACAAACGGTTCATCTGTGGTCATTTGGAACACAAATATTCTGTAATGCTAATTGGTCTACAAAGTCATGCTGAAATATTTCAAAAAGCTGACCAATTTCACCATTAATATTAACCCCTGGTTTAGTAGTTTACATGCTAGCAAAGAGAGGTTCTAATAGGAAATATAATTATTTGTACAATGTACCTTAATGACTGTGAAACACCCGGTGTCACCATAACAGCCAACTTCCTGGTTGTTTCCACACGTCGTAAGGATGATCCCAAAACCAAACATCCTAATGCATAAGTATCATTTGTAGCTAATGTGACAAATGCCTCTCTCTCTTCTGAAAATATATTCAATAGTTATTTTATGAAACTGTTTAGATACACAGTTACATTTAGTTGTCCATACAGTCTATTGAAATCAACTGGGGAATCCAATTCTAAGTAATAACCTTTCAAAACAGGTATCAGTGCTACACAGTATCATATATTTAAATCTTTGTTTTAGTGTAAGTGTGATTTTTGAAGAGGAAGAGAGTTTTTGTTTTTTATTTCATAAGTAATCATACATGTAAGTTTTATGTACATTTTAGAATACTTTTTATTTGTGCAACCTGACAGGGAACAGGCTTGTGAAAACTAAAATGAGCACCTTTCATTCAGATGGTCACGAATTAGGAATTGTGAAAGAAAGATATAACAGAAGATGGAGGGGCCTGATGGGGGGGTCTCATCACGATTCACGAGTTGATTTTTTTGTCAATCACGATTCACAGAAAATAAATTTCCATGATCACGGATCAGGAAAATATATAAAAAAAAAAAAAAATCTGTAGAAAAACGGATCACGAGAGCGAAAATGCGCCGATCACGAAGAACGAAAATAACCCATCAGGCCCCTCAAAATAGGTAATAACAAATGAAATATTTCATTTGAACAAAAAGTTTTTTTTTTAATGTCCTTGAATAGACTTACAGTCAATTATGAAATAATATTTTTCTCTCTAATGAATTAAATTGTCTCAAGTAGAAGTCCACTGATACCCTCAATTTCATTGTCCCAAAAACAGTCACAGACACAGTTACTGTACACATCAAGAGTTACACATAAACTAATGCTTTAAGGTCAAGGTTCAGTAAATGGGCTATGTCACAGATTTTGGTAAAATTTATCATACAACTTGGGCTCGTTGAACTTTAACTGAAAATCATGAAAATTGAAAAAAAATGCATTTATCTCTTTTATTTTTTGGAAATATTAGCTAATAAATTCTTTAAAATAGGTGAACATTTGAATAGAATCAAACGATGCAAATTAATAAACTGTTATCACAGAGATATCTCTCGCCTTTTTGTAATTTTGATAATGCAAATGTTGAAATTAAAATAGCAATACTTTAACATGTAAGTTATGCAAATATTCAAAGTCCATGAACCATGACTGAAGGTACATGGCTAAACAATCTCCATGGAATGAGATGTGCCAATGCTAATACAACTGCATACCAAATACCATTGACTTATTATAAGTCGTTCCCTTTAAACAAACCTAAACACAAACATTAACATTAACTTGTAAACTATGTAAAAGTTTCAAAGTAAATGAACCATGATCAGCCATCATCAGGGGTGGGGCTATATAATCTCCATGGAAACTATACTTGCAAATGCCAGTACATTTGCATACCAAATATCATTGACTTAACATTAGCAGTTCATCTTAATCTGATCTAATCACAAACTAATACATGTAAACTAAGCAAAAGTTTCACAGTCAATAGACCATGACTGAGGGGGCGGGGCCAAATATTCTCCATGGAAATGAGATGTGCTAATGCTTAAACAACTGAACACCAATTAACATTGGCCTACCACTAATGGTTCCCCTTGAACTGACCTAATCACAAACTAATACATGTTAACTTAGCAAAATTTTCAAAGTCTATAGACCATGACTAAGGGGGCAGAGCCGAATAATCTCCATGGAAATGAGATATGCCAATGCTTATACAACTGCATACCAAATCAGGGCTTCCAAAATTATTTTTAGCCAGCCGGACATTTTATATATTATCCCGATTTTAATCCCTTAAGACTAAATAAACAAAATGCAATTATGGTATTCAGTTGCTGAGTTGGCCATCCCAATGATTGACATTAAAAAAATTGATATTAAACTTTCTTTGATTCAAATTCGAAGTTCTGACGTAAACTGTTAAATTGGCAGTGCATCATTCGAAGTGTGCAACATCAGCGTACTTATATCTGCCTTAGACTCTTTATTTGTGCAAAATAACGTTGTCAAAAACTTTACATTCGTTAAAATCTTATACCGGATGTTATCTTTACAATGGTAAAACATGGACCAGAGACAGATACGTAAATTCCGTGTACGTTTGCAAAACATGAATGAGTGTACGTAGCTCTTTCTACATTATCTCTTCAAGAAAATATTCGAAATAAACGTGAGATTAAGGTATCAATGACAATTTAAGCATTTTTTGAAGAAATTATGATGCATAATTAAATTTCACACATGCGCACATGTGTACTAGTTCAAACAGAGACATGTCTCTGGTTCAAACAACGTGGTTATGATGATTTTTCATTTTCACCTTTTTAATTTTTTCATCAAATCATATTTGTAAACGTATTTCTGATAATTTAAATCTTTTTGACTAAATTAATTAAGATGCAAACCGCTGAAATGTAAGAAAATAACTTTGAATAGACTGATCAATGTCCGGTTCAAAATAGTTTACCTGTCACCTAAACAGGTAAATTTCAGCTGTTTGACAACTAATTAGCCTTGATTAAAATGAGAAGGTATTAAAGTAGGGGTTGTTTTGATAGTACTTAATGTCACTTTTATGACCGGAAATGTGTGGCTGTTAAAGGCAAAAGGTTGGGTCAAAAAGATCGCGAATTATGTTAAAATGACCGTCTCTTAAGAAAGCCTTGAAAACTAAAAAGTAGATAACCGTTTCATGCTTTGCCCAGCCGGACTTTACGAATATATGACCGTTTTGGAAGCCTTGTACCAAATATCATTGACCTACCACTAGTGGTTCCCCATAAATTCACCTTATCACAAACTAATACATGTAAACTATGAAAAGTTTCAAAGTCAATAGACCTTGACTGAGGGGGCGGGGCCAAATAATCTCCATGGTAATGAGATGTGCCAATGCTAATACAACTGCATACCAAATATCATTGACCTACCACTAGTGGTTCACCATGAACTAGACCTAATCACAAACTAATACATTGTTGACGTCGCCGCCACCGACAACAGCATACCTATGTCTCGCTTTTTGACTCCATCAAGGCGAGACAAAAACTGGATGTACTGCAAGAAAACTGTGATACACTTGCACCCGCATATACATGTAGCCATGACAAAGTTGTTATTTGCTTAGGAGAGAGAAAAAAAGCAGATCAATACACATAAAAGAACAGAGTTCCAATGTCCCCCACGTATTTTATCAGTCCAAAATTAATAACTAAAAAAAATTTTGTTTTTGTTTTTTAAAACTTTTTACAAATTATCGAGAGTTGAAAACCTGAGACATTTCTGATATATTTAATATCTAAAGTGTTTGATCAGCAATTATTTTCAAAACTGTCCCTGACATTGCTGATGTTAACCTTTGATATGAATTTGATAAAAATATGGCAAAAATTGTACATGTGAGAGCGCTTACAATGCAAATTTCCATATAATTAATATTTCTAAGGGCAATAACTCTTATAAAAATTATTGATCAGCACTGATTTTCGAACTCATCCGAAATATTGCTGATATAAACCTACAATATAAATTTCATAAAAATCTGGCAAGAATTGTACACATGAGAGAGCTATGGATGCAATTTCCCATATAATTAATGTTTCCAAGGGGCATAACTCTTTAAAAATAGTTCATCAGCACTGATTTTTAACTCGTCCGAGACATAGATGATATAAACCTATGTTATAAGTTTTATAAAAATCTGGCAAAAAATGTACATGTGAGAGCGCTAATAAGACAGGTGGGATGGACGCCCAGTGTTTCTATTGCGCAGGGGACAAAAATAGGAAGTGAACAATGCCAGGCATTATAATGTTAAGATTCTGAAACAATTCAAATTACAATTTAGGCTTACAGATTGATACAAAACATGTCAAGCCCCCCCCTTTCCAAAATGTTAACTGTGTCTTTTAAGCACAGAATTATCTAATTTGTAATTTTTTTCATTCAAGGGTAATATCTCACATAATGGGTTGATTAAAATTTTCCTCATATTGGCATTTTTACAGATTTTGTAATTGCTGATAATTTTTGCTGTTTCAGTTTCAGTCAATTTTGAAGACTGTGATGTTCAGTATTGGCATTCAAAAGCAATCAGATTTATTTCATATGTGAAATCATCGATTTTTATTTCACTGGGAAATCAAGGTAATTCATTGCAACCTTTAAATTTAAAATGATTCTGTAATATAATTTTAAATAGCTATTATTATATAAATATGGAAATGTGGTCTTTCTCAGCTTACACCTACTTTATTTAAACTCAAATGAATAAACAATATCAAAGTGGCGAGGCAGTATTGTCTTTTAAAATCGACAAAATGACCTTGACATTATCTACGAGGTCTATCCCATTGCAAGGTCAAAACGAAAATGAAACTAGACTTTGTGAAATTCGTTGTAACTTCCCATTCATGAAAACTGTAAACTCTTACAAAAAATTAATGTCTTTGCATAGTATTATGTCTAAAACGCGTAAAATATTGAGATATGTGAGAAATGCATCAAACATGAGTTTGACCTGCCCCACTTCATCAACCGATTTTTTTTTTAACAGACCAACTTCCGCTAATTATTTTTTATGTTTATTACGTTTTACACAATTTTTGAACATTTTGAATACTAGAGTATATCTTTCATATCAATAACAATTTATTCTAGATATTGCAAATTGCTTGTCCATTATTTTTAACGAGAAAACATTGAATGAAAGCCACATACCTTGACTAGCCATTCTGCAGCAGTTGCACGTCCTGGAAAGGCAATATCTATATCAACCAATGGTGGGCTGGATTGATAATCACGTGACTCAAGATGTCTGCGCCTATGGAATAAAAGTTGATTAATTTAAAGCAACTATTTTATGGTAATATCTGGTTCTTGTGTTGCTTAATTAGTTCAGAATATTTCTGTTTACACAAAGTAAGAAAGTGTATCCGATATTCCTAGTTCTTTATGCCAGAAACTCCCAAAATGAGCATATTTTCCATGGTTACTATGAACGCTTCATCAGTTTGGTCGAAACCACTCGCATAGATCATTTTAATGGGATATATTATAATAGCCCGTTTTGGGATGTAGTAACATTAAGGGGATATAAATTCAATGTTAAATAAATCTTCTTTTTTTTTAATGTTCATAAAAAATATTAAAAGTCAAATTATAAATTAAAAGATAAAATAAGATAATCTTTAATATCTTTAATGACTTTATTTCAATTTTCAGACTTGATTGATGTATGTCGTTCCGAACTTGCCAGGCTGCCATTTAAAATAGGATAATGTTATCCAGCATTAAATTCTGGGACCATTTAATCACTTCAGAAGGAAGTTTAAATTAGTTCACCAAATATATAATGCTACAAAAATGAGCAACCCTTGGGTTAATTAGGAGGTTAAATATTAATATTCAAAATTTAGGTTTATCATATTTGTCAACGTTAAACCCACTATTAAACCCCTTTTTGGTTTTATAAAACAAAGAATAATTGACCAGGGTATTCAAAAACAACATGCAAATATTTTAGCATCTCCAAAATTAACATTTTTCCAGTGTTAACAAAATGAGTGAACGTGCAGCTTATGTTGATGCTTTAAGAAATAGATCAGATCGATCCTCATTGTGTAAATTAAGAGTTAGTGCTCATAACCTTGCCATTGAAAGAGGAAGATATTTAAAAGTTCTCAGGGATCAAAGAATTTGTGAAATCTGTAAAAGTGCCGAAATTGAAAATGAACAGCACATGCTACATGTACTACACTGTAGAGGGTACTCCAGCATCAGAGAGACTTTTGAATTCAAAATGTCCAAAATTACAGGAAAAAGTATAATCCCTTTGTGCGATAAATATAAAATGAAGCTTATACTTAATAATAAATCTTACACAGCACTAAAACTATCTTCCTCTTTCGTAACAAATTGTTTAAATGCAAGAAGTAATCTAATACAATAGATTTGCATTATACATGTATTTTATATTCACACAATTGTTTGTATTTTACTACCATGTTTATGATTATCCATTCGGTCATTACCATTTATTGTAAATGCGATTGTGCCAATAAAATATTGTCTATTGTCTCAAAAAGGTCTATATATATATATATATATATACCGGTACATGAAACAAAATAATCTGTTTAAACAGAATACAATGTTAAAATATTTAAGGTATCTATTTGCAATGTCCGATAATTTCAGCGGTCCTAGAGGGCCTACAATGTATACCCCTCCCTTTGATCAGAAAAAATTTTTTTTTGGGGTTAGCATGGTGATATATATTCTATTTTCTGGAATTTTGCTCCCCTTAAAAAAATGTATCCTCGCCTGAACTGCATACATTCATGGGCCTGAAATATTTGTCATCTGAGACCACTATTCACATTGATAAGTCACTGTTGATTTCGCATATTGAACAGGGCTGTTTGTACTGTGACATCAGCGATGAAACTATTAATATAGGTCAATTACAAATAATATAATAACAGTTATAAAGTTGTTTATTTAATATTTAGGGAAGTAATTAATGTATAATTGAATAAATTCTTTACAATTTTTAGAGTAAAGCGATATTTAAAAGCATATTTGTTTAAACAGGTTAAATTAAAAAAAAAACAGCAACTTTTCCTGAAACTTCAGAGTTTGCAAATCCTTTTTGTCGAGCCTGCGACTTTTGTCGCAGAAAGCTCGACATAGGGATAGTGATCCGGCGGCGGCGGCGGCGGCGGCGGCGTTAGCTAACTTCTTAAAAGCTTTATATTTTAGAAGGTGGAAGGTCTGGATGCTTCATACTTTGTATATGGATGCCTCATGTTACGAAGTTTCCGTCAGTCACATGTCCAATGTCCTTGACCTCATTTTCATGGTTCAGTGACTACTTGAAAAAAAAGTTCAGATTTTTTTTAATGTTAGATTCTCTCTTTTTATAAGTAATAGGATAACTATATTTGGTATGTGCGTACCTTGCAAGGTCCTCATGCCCGTCAGACAGTTTTCACTTGACCTCGACCTCATTTCATGGATCAGTGAACAAGGTTAAGTTTTGGTGGTCAAGTCCATATCTCAGATGCTATAAGCAATAGGTCTAGTATATTCGGTGTATGGAAGGACTGTAAGGTGTACATGTCCAACTGGCAGGTGTCATCTGACCTTGACCTCATTTTCATGGTTCAGTGGTTATAGTTAAGTTTTTGTGTTTTGGTCTGTTTTTCTTATACTGTATGCCATAGGTCTACTATATTTGGTGTATGGAATGATTGTAAGGTGTACATGTCTAGCGGGTAGGTGTCATCTGACCTTGACCTCATTTTCATGGTTCAGTGGTCAAAGTTAAGTTTTTGAGTTTTGGTCTTTTTTTCTAATACTATATGCAGTAGTTCAACTATATTTGGTATGTGCGTACCTTGCAAGCTCCTCATGCCCGTCAGACAGTTTTCACTTGACCACGACCTCATTTCATGGATCAATGAACAAGGTTAAGTTTTGGTGGTCAAGTCCGTATCTCAGATACTATAAGCAATAGGTGTAGTATATTTGGTGTATGGAAGGACTGTAAGGTATACATGTCCAACTGCCAGGTGTCATCTGACCTTGACCTCATTTTCATGGTTCAGTGGTTATAGTTAAGTTTTTGTGTTTTGGTCTGTTTTTCTTATACTGTATGCCATAGGTCTACTATATTTGGTGTATGGAATGATTGTAAGGTGTACATGTCTAGCGGGCAGGTGTCATCTGACCTTGACCTCATTTTCATGGTTCAGTGGTCAAAGTTAAGTTTTTTGAGTTTTGGTCTTTTTTTCTAATACTATATGCAATAGTTCAACTATATTTGGTGTATGGAAATATTTTATGATCTTTTTGGCAGTCAAGCAGGTTTTATTTGACCTTGACCTTATTTTCAAGGTTCATTGCTCAGTGTTAAGTTTTTGTGTTTTGGTCTGTTTTTCTTAAACTATAAGCAATAGGTCAATTATATTTGTTGTATGGAAGAATTGTTAGCTGTACATGCCTGCCTAGCATGGTTCATCTGACCTTGACCTCATTTTCATGGTTCATTGGTCAATGTTTAGTTTACTTGGTTAATGTTAAGTTTATGTGACAGTTGTAATAAAGCTTTATATTTAGGACTATCAACATAATATCAATGATTAGTAAAGAAGGCGAGACATTTCAGCGTGTGCACTCTTGTTTTTTTTTAGATCAATCATTCCATGTCATACAATCATCATGAATGTGCATTATAACTTGTGATCTTGTCAACCTCACTTTTTTAAGAAATTTTAAGTCAAAGTCAAGTTGAAAGAACCGAAATATTGTTACCCTAAACAGGGATTGATTATACTAATATTATAATAGTACCAGCCCTAAATCCATAAAGATATAATGCCATTTTATTAACCAATTATGAAAAAGAAGACATGTAGATACTTTCTGAAGTAGTTGAAGGTTTAGGTTGTAAATACAAAAACTTAATGGGTCTATGATCATGATTACTCTTTTACATTTTGTTCATCTACATTGTACATGTACCTTCCTAAATATTGTAGGACACTTTTCATACCTCTGTAACAGATACGATGTATGTTGTTGTCCTTTCAGATAAAGTAATAAAACATTATTGTTTTATCTGGGTTTTTTTCCTCATGCAAATCATACTTACATTAAGCAACTGTTTGATACACTATAGAAAAAGGGTATTAAGCTTGGACATGTTTAAAAACCTTATAAATATACATTATTGTGTCATTTCCTTTTTCTTTTCATTTTTATTCATAAATTTAGAAGTAACCAATTCATTGTAATCATTTGTCACAAATTTAACTTGATTATTCTGTCTGTAATGGGCATTTTTAATTAACAATACAATAATGAACTTGAATTTGAAAATCTACTAGAATAGAATCATTGCTCTGTATGTATTCCTTTTTGCATGTAGAACAATAAAGATGTAGAATACTAGAATTTGATATTCCTTTACTTTACTGCTTATATCCAAGTTATATATAATATAACTGTTCTGACAAACAATGTTACATATTGGGTCTGCCATTTACCTTATATAATATAACTATTCTGACAAACAATGTTAAATATTGGGTCTGCCATTTACCTTATATAATATAACTGTTCTGACAAACAATGTTACATATTGGGTCTGCCATTTACCTTATATAATACAACTGTTCTGACAAACAATGTTACATATTGGGTCTGCCATTTACCTATGCATGCCTCTTTTTATTACTTAATTTGTTAGACATACCTGAAATAATGTTCAGTGTTCTTCTCCCTATTGTGTCATTTGTATGAATGAAACATTTCATTGTTCATTTTCTTTTAAGAATTAATGGATTTGCACACTTAATCCTTATTTCCTATCTATCCCTTTTAAGAGTGACACAAGAGTAATCAAAATTATAAGTGTAAACTGTAATATCTTAGTAATCCTTCCTGAGTAAAGAAAACAATAGAACTTTTAAGTTTCATTTCCCTTATCTTTAAACTTGTGCTAATAGCTATTGTTAATTTGTTAGATGGATTTATAATGTCTAATGTATTTTTTTTTTCTCTGAGTGCTCATTGCTGTATCAATTATAGATTAGTTTTCAAGCAAGCAATAAAAAGAACATACAATGTATCAAAAACAAAGTTACACCAAATACTTTTTTCTTTTCTTCTTTTTACAATGCTATAAGACATTTAAATTTTTCTGATTCTTAAACTTTTAGTTTATTTCATTACTAAAGTCTTCTTGAATATAATAACTGTCTGTGGGATCACTATCACCTAACACTTTTCTTTAGACACATCATAATCATCAGTTTTGTTTGTTTCTGGATTTTTTTTATTTTAGGGGGATGGGTTTGCTTTTTAAGTTTACAATAGGAAATGACTCGTGCAAATATTTGGAGGCCTAATGGTGAACTTTAGACTTTGCTGTTGGTGATTACATAAGACTGTGTATTTGACAATTGGTATACATCTTATTTTCATAATGTCCTTAAATCAAACATGACATATATGTACAATGTATTCTCATAATCTCCATTTTGATTACAGCTGAATATGGCAAAGGAAAAAAATGAATGGAATGATTGGATTGGTGAACTTTTTACACCATCTTATGATGTTACTGTTGAAGATATGCTTGATCAGCCACAGGATGAAGAAACAACAATAAAGTCTAAAGTCAAACTGGTATCGGCTTTAGATCCAGACACAATTAAGGATGCCTTTGAAAGAGTTCGTGTGACATGTGTTTTAGCTGAAGAAATGAGAAAGAAAGCATCAAAACAAGATTCCTCTAAAGGCATTAAAGTAGCAGAAGGCAAAGGTTAACATGAAATGATAACAATAGATATTACAATCAAAAATCCTAAGTAAAATATTGTGTATAAATCAGAGTATCCTCAATCAGCTAGAGCATGTAGAGAACTAAAAAAAAATCTGTTACTGTCAATTCATTATTATTCGTTGGATACCAATTTTCGTGGATTTCGTGGGTACAGGTGAACCACGAAATTAAATTTTTAACGAATGACAAATTTTCTATAGGCTTGTATGCAGACTTTGGCAAGACCACGAAATTAAATATCCACAAACATGAAGGTGTTCCTTAATCCACGAAAATTGGTACCCAGGAAAATAAATGAATCCACAGTATATATACCAACTGTACAAACTAACTCACCACACTCCTGTTAAATATATAAAACATATAATATGCATTTATAAGTTGATAATTGATTAATGTAAAAATGAGATAAAATATGATTGCCAATGAGACAACTGCCCACAAGAGACCAAAAGATGAGGCGGTAAACAACGTCATGTATATACATTGTAAGGCCTGAATTACGTTAAAAACAAGAAATGTAAAACAAATATGGTAGACAGCAACCATTCAATTACATGTTCAATTTCCTTTCAGACTTGGGACAGGCACACAATTTGGCAGGGTTAAACATGTATGTGAATGCTCAAGCCTTTCCTTGTCTGTTTTATTGCCATATTGGCCTTAGCTGCCATGGTACATGTACATGTACATGCATCTGTATTATTAAGTTTCTGGTAAAAATTGTTTATCAGATTATCATAACCAAGTATTTCCAATTCCTCAGGAAGACTTCTTTTATATCTGCTTTCAGTTTTGATGTCCTTTTAGTTTTTATTGGAAAATAGTCATACATTGAGATACTTTTGATTCTCTATATTATTTATGAATATTTATTAGTTGAAATTGGGCTTTGAACTAGCTTTCAGCAAGGTTGGCAAAAAACTGTCTATAGTAGTTTTGACCAGGCTGGCGGTAAACACTGGTCAGCTGAAATTTTGATAGGACATTACCATAAAAAACAGTCCCTACCAGGTCAATAAATTGGCAAATGGACAAATAGTTACAACTTACAGGACAGAAAGTCACTAAGACCAAAAGGTCAAAATTAATTAGTGAACAAGTGTTTGAATATAAATGAATAAGTAAAATTTAAGGGAAAATCCTTGATAGAATGCCTTTTTATGTGATAAATTCATTGTACAGTTCATGAAATTGTTATTTGGAATGGTTAAATGAAGATTTATCAAATATTAATCATACAAAAGATATATTTCTTGGTATTATGATACCAGTTTCTAAAATTATAAGTCTTTAAGGACAAAATTATCACAAAACTGAATTTTGACTTTTTGTCCTGTTACTTTCTGTCCTACAGCTGTCTAACAAGACACTTTGACAGCTTGTTTCTTCACAATTATTTCATCTCGATAACATTTTTATGCCCCCACCACTAGGTGAAGGGGGCATTAGGTAGCAATACACAGGTAGGAATTTAGTTTCGCATTTTGGCCATAGTGAATTTTTTAATATGAAAGTTTATGTGCAATAAAAATGATTTTAAGATAGCTGAAGAATAATATAGCCTTCAAAATGGGTTTAAATGAACATCAAGATTGTTTTTTGCATATTTTAGGCCATTTTTCTGTTTGACAGTCCATATTTTCACACCCGTACTGCCCATAGGTCCAGAAATTATTGTAGTGTTTCAAAAAAATATTTGACTCGAGAACTTTTCAATTCAATTTTATGGAAAAATGAGGTGAAATGCATATGATTTTTTTGGACCTCTTGATAGATAAATGTCAATGGTTTTAGAAAGGTACCACTCTAATGGATTGAAATTCTTCTTTGGACCAAATTTTGGTGACTTTTGTGACATTTTCACCCCCTTTTTGCAATATTTTGTATCAAATATATGCAGATTTTTGCCATGGTTACACCAAAAAGAGATTATATTTCAACATTTTAATTTGTGGAAATCAAATCTATGGAAGATTCTGTTTCCATACATGTACATAAAATGATATGCACATACATAACACAAACATTAAGCATTATTTGGTAGAAAGCAAGGGAAAGAGGGTGGTTAAAAATTATGAGTCGATTTTAAAATTTTTTCCTCACTGTGCATTGCTACCTTAAGTGTTACCCTTGTCTGTCCGTATGTCCATATATCCCAAAATTGGTTTCTGTTTTGTAACTTAGTTTGCTTGAACCAAATGTTATGAAACTTATACACAATGCTTATTACCATAAAACACAGTTCAAGTTTGATTTTGGGTGGTATCACTTTTACTGTTCTCTAGTTATGTCCCTTTATAATATTATAGCAAGCAGGGCATCATCTGTGTCCCAAGGACACATTCTCCATTTATTTACAATAATTTTTGTTAAAAAAGTTGTTTTATATATACATGTAATAGTTTAAGAAAAATACAGAAATGGTCTTAAAAAAATAAAATACAACAAAAGGTTCACATGAGCTTCTACCATGACTTGTTGGCAATGTCTGGCATACATTTAAAAAAAAAATCTTCGCTGAAACTGCCGGACCAGTTGTTAGAAAACTTCATCTAAATGTTCCTTAGGGCATTTAGTTTATAAATCTGGGGATTTGATCCATCAACAACATGGCCACTGGTGATGAAATATTACAGAGAGTTAGCAAATGTTTATAGTTTATACTCCAAAACTATGATAGATAGAGGAAAAAATATGACATCTAAAAAATCCGAATACAATTATCTGCAAATTTTTGTATACATATGTATGTTTGGATTTGTCAATTAACTATCCATGGGAGTTATTACCCTTTAATTAAAAGATGGTTTTTACCAATTTTTTTATGATGATGATTGATTGAACATTCCCAATTTTTTTTTAATTCTTAGCTTTTATCTTGAAAACTATACTAGATAAAGAGACACTATCAACAGCAAAAATGACCAGCAAAACAAAATCTACATATATTTCAACATTGCTGAAATCATAGTTTGACTCCATACATAAGTTATTACCCTTTGATTGACCGTTTTTACACATTTTTAGCTCACCTGGCCCAAAGGGCTAAGTGAGCTTTTCTCATCACTTGGCGTCCGTTGTCCGTCGTCGTCCGTTAACTTTTACAAAAATCTTCTCCTCTGAAACTACTTGGCCAAATTTAACCAAACTTGGCCACAATCATCATTGGGGTATATAGTTTAAAAAATGTGTCCGGTGACCCGGCCAACCAACCAAGATGGCCGCCATGGCTAAAAATAGAACATAGGGGTAAAATGTAGATTTTGGCTTATATCTCTGAAACCAAAGCATTTAGAGCAAATCTGACATGGGATAAAATTGTTAATCTGGTCAAGATCTATCTGCCCTGAAATTTTCAGATGAATTGAACAACCCGTTGTTGGGTTGCTGCCCCTGAATTGGTAATTTTAAGGAAATTTTGCCGTTTTTGGTTATTATCTTGAATATTATTATAGATAGTGATAAACTGTAAACAGCAATAATGTTCAGCAAAGTAAGATCTACAAATAAGTCAACTTAACCAAAATAGTCAGTTGACCCCTTAAGGAGTTATTGCCCTTTATAGTCAATTTTTAACAATTTTTCGTAAATTTTTGTAATCTTTTACAAAAATCTTCTCCTCTGAAACTACTAAGACAAATTTAACCAAACTTGTCCACAATCATCATTAGGGTATCTAGTTTAAAAAATGTGTCCGATGACCCCGCCTGCGAACCAAGATGGCCGACATGGCTAAAAATATTGTACATAGGGTAAAATGCAGTTTTTGGCTCATATCTCTGAAACCAAAGCATTTAGAGCAAATCAGACGAGGATAAAATGATCATTAGGTCAAGATCTACCTGCCCTGAAATCTTCAGACCAATCAAGCAACATGTTGTTGGGTTGCTGCCCCTGAATTGGTAATTTTAAGAAAATTTTGCAGCTTTTGGTTATTATCTTGAATATTATTATAGATAGAGATAAACTGTAAACAGCAATAATGTACAGCAAAGTAAGATCTACAAATAAGTCAACATGACCAAAATTGTCAATTGACCCCTTAAGAAGTTATTGCCCTTTATAGTAAATTTTTTACAATTTTCATAAATTTTGTAAATTTTTGTAAATTTTTACAAAATATTTTCTACTGTAACTACTGGGCCAAGTTCATTATAGATAGAGATAATTGTAAGCAGCAAGAATGTTCAGTAAAGTAAGATCTACAAACACATCACCATCACCAAAACACAATTTTGTCATGAATCCATCTGTGTCTTTTGTTTAATATGCACATAGACCAAGGTGAGCGACACAGGCTCTTTAGAGCATCTAGTTTTGTGTTTTTGACAAAATCTATAGTAGATAGAGAGAAACTGACAACAGCAAAAATGACCAGCAAGACAAGAACTACAAATAAGTTTGAATAGCTGAAATCTTCCAACTCAGGCCCCTAAGAACAGTTAGTTATAGTTTATCTTGATACATTGAACACACATATAGTATGAACTTTATTTGACTTTTAATGGTACATACATGTATATACATGTACCATTGTACTCCATAGTCCTTTGTTAAGCCTACCAGTAATTTGTTTGACTGACATGGAATAAAGATAGTTTTAAATGATGATTTTATAAATATATTTATAATATTTTGTAGGCATAGATACTCAGCCTGATAAAAAGGAAGAAAAAACAGTTGATGTTGATCAGCCTGGTATCTGGGACACAAATGAACTTGCAACTCTTCGTAAAGTTTTTAAAACTATCAAACAACATAATAGAAAATTAAAGGTGATCAATACAGAACTAGAGAAGAGAAATGAGGAACTTGAAAATGAAGTTTCCAATTTGAAACTGCATTTAAACAAAAAGAATCATGAACTAACAGAGGCTGCAAAAGCAAATAAAAGACATAAAATTTTGAGTGACCAGCTGCAGCATGATTTGGATTACATAACAGCAAGAATGACTGCAATGGAGCAAATATTTAAGGAAATTAATGAGGAAAAGTCCAAAATGGTCAAAGAAAATCAGGAAATGAAAATTGCAGTTGATAAAGAGAGAATGGACCGTGAAAGGATTGAATGTCAGTTAAAATCATTAGAACAGCAAGCACTATGTGAAAAAATGGCAATGGAACAAACAATAAAAATGGAATGTCAGTCAGAGATTTCAAAACTACATAGCCGAATAAATGATCTTTCCGATGAACTGAACAAAGAGAAAAAGTTACATTATACAACAAAAAGAGGATTGGAACATTTACGACAACATTTTGCAAGTTTGCCTTTGTCAAATATTGTACCTCCAAATGCAGTGAAATCAGACCAAATAAGCAAATTTAGCTATACGTAATTTATAAATATTTATAAAAATAGGCATCTTTTATTTAGAAATTTCAGATTATGATATATAAGCATTTTTTACTGTATTTTTTATCAACTTATTAAAATTTAATTTAGTTATAAAATCTTTAATATTTTCTGATTTATTTTCTAAAAACTTTAATTGTCTTATCTGTGAAGAAATATCCATACAGTGAAAGTAGACTTCAATCAACCACAGTTCAAATGAAGTGAATGTAAGCAATTATAGGCAACTGTACAGCCTATAGCAAAGAGAAAAACTCAAATGGTATAGTCGGCCATGAAAATGTGACGCAAACAATTCAAAAGAGAAAACTAATGGCCTGTTTTATATCAACAATTTATGAAAAACAACTATGACAGACATGATTCACGGACAACCACTGAACTACAGGCTCCTGACTTGGGACAGGCACATAAAGAATGTGGAAGGGTTAAACATGTTTGTGAGCTCTCAACGCTCCACTTATCTGGGACAGTGGTTTTACAGCACAACATAAGAACAAACTGCAAAAATCAGTACCAATTGGCTTCACTCAAAAGATCAGTACAAGGCATAAAAACTAACAAAAAAACAAAAAACACAAAGCACTGAAATAAAGAGTACTTACAGTTACTGTAAGCTAGATCAAAGCCAATTACAACTAATAAATAAATCATGTTCTCCCAAACTTAACAATCAATCAGTACACATTCAACGGATTTAGTGTAAAGATGTTATAAACGCATGGCCTTGTGCAAATGCCAAAATATAAGTAAACAGTATGGATAGGATGTAGGATAATGAGTACTCATAACTGTACATATATAGCAATATATATTAAAAAATATCAAAAACAAAATCAATGTTAGTACTACATGTAATAAAAACAATATTAAAAGATTTACCACTGTGTTGAATTGATAACCTTTAAGAATAAGTTTATTCAAAGGATCAATTAGTTTTCAAGGATCATATCTAAAATTACGGGCTTTATAAACAACATCACAGTAAAAATTAGTATGTGATATTCCATTTTTTTATAAGAAATCCACAGGTATAGTCAAACTTCCTAACCAAATCCTTATTTATGAAAGAATTTGGTAAAGGTTTTAATTTGTGGTAACAAAATCCTTGACTTAATATTTTATCATTTATGCATAAATTATATTCATTGAAATCTAAAATGTGACTACAGATAAGGGCATGGAGACCAATTTGTGAAGTATACACATGTAAGGATGGGCTTGAGGAACATTACCGTCCAAAAAGGGAAAACTAACAATTGGGAATGATAAACTGTTTCTTCTATCATAAATTTTGTATAGAGTTTCCCTGCATGAAACTGAAATATTCTTATCTAGAAAAGGACCACAATTATTGCAGTCTGTATTAGATTTATTTTTAAAAGTGATTTCTTTAGGGTGAACATAATTCTTGATTATTTAAAGCAAAATATCAAGGTAATGGTAAGTGTTTTTAAATTTATCAATTAAGTGTAATTAAGATGGATCTTAACCGAGTTTGACCATAAACTGTGATCCATAAGAATACAGGAACAAGTCTGCTATTATAGGGGCGCAATTGGTGCATATTGGAATATTGGCATATTGGAATACCTACAACCTGTCGATAAACTTTATTGCCATAACAAACATAGATGTTATCAAGAGAAAAATTAAAGCTTTAATCATCTCAACACAGTTCCAGTAAGTATATCTAGCATTTTTCCCTTTTTCATTACAGAAGGCGGCTTTATAAGAGTTGCAGCAAATAAATCTGCAACCATATTTTTCAAAGGACCATTTGATTAAATTATCTGTTTGATAAGATTTTGTGGTAGTGTAGTGTACAGGGTGGAAAAAGCATAACTGTCGACTGAATTGAACGGACCATCAAAAGCAAGTAATTTATCCGAAACATTGGAAGGTTTTTGACACTCCAAAAATAGTTAATTCCATTATTTCATATGGTTTTATTACACAAGAGTGCACACGCTGAAATGTCTCGCCTTCTTTACTGACCATTGATTTTATGTTGATAGTCCTAAATATAAAGCTTTACTAAAAGTATCACATAAACTTAACATGATCCAAGAAAATGAGGTCAAGGTCAGATAAACCAAACAGGAAATACATGTACACCTTACAATCATTCAATACACCAAATATAGTTAACTATTGCTTATAGTTTCTAAGAAACAGACTTAAAAAGGAAAACTAAACATTGACCAATGAACCATGAAAATAAGGTCAAGGTCAGATGAACCATGCCAGACAGACATGTCCACCTAACAATAATCTATGCATTAAATATAGTTGACCTATTGCTTATAGTATATAAGAAACAAACTTAACCATGGAAACTAAACATTGACCAACGGACCATGAAAATGAGGTCAAGGTCAGATGATATCTGCCAGACAGACATGTACACCTTACAATCATTCCATACAACAAATATAGTTGACCTATTGGTTATAGTTTAAGAAAAACAGACCAAAACACAAAAACTAAACACTTAGCAATGAACCATGAAAATGAGGTCAAGGTCAAATAAAACCTGCCAGACTGACATGTACAGTGTAAAATATTTCAATACACCAAATATATTTGACCTATTGCATATAGTATTAGAAAAAAGACCAAAACACAAAACTTAACTTTAACCACTGAACCATGAAAATGAGGTTAAGGTCAGATGACACCTGCCAGCTGGACATGTACACCTTACAATCAATCTATACACCAAATACTTATAGTATCTGATATATGGACTTGACCACGAAAACTTAACCTTGTTCACTGATCCATGAAATGAGGTCGAGGTCAGATGAAAACTGTCTGACAGGCATGAGGATACATATGACGCACATATTAAATATAGTTATCCTATTACTCATAATAAGAGAGAAATTAACATTACAAAAAATCTGAACTTTTTTTTCAAGTAGTCACTGAACCATGAAAATGAGGTCAAGGACAATGGACATATGACAGATGAAAACTTCATAACATAAGGCATCTATATACAAAGTATGAAGTATCCAGGTCTTCCACCTTAGAAAATATAAAGCTTTTAAAAAGTTAGCAAACGCCGCAACCGCCTGATCACTAACCCTATGTCGAGCTTTCTGCAACAAAAGTCAAGGCTTGACAAAAAATTAACTAGTTCTTTAATAGAAATAAGGGAATGAGTCAACAGTACAGAAAGATTAGTCATAGAGCACTTAATAGAAGCTGAGATGAAACGAAATTTGAACTGTATAAGGTTAATGTAATAATTAATAATGGTTAGCTATAATCATCAAGTTCAATTGCTTTAATATTTTTATACCCGTGCATGGGTTCTGATTTACCACCGTTTGAAACTCAATCCTATCATATTTTCCCAGCAACAAGCCATAGCTTCTTGATATATGGCACAAAGATGTGTCTGGTATGCCATACTGTTAAGATTTTAGTTTCTTTAACGTTCTACTTACTGCTTGCTGAAAACAAATTTTTTAAATGTCATGCACATTAATGAAATTTTCTTGACATAAACACAACATTGACACATAAATCATACAGTATGATATCAATAAATAGCTCCCAGTACATTTTGATTAGTATAGATCATTTGATAGGTTGCATTTGGTGATATAAACACAGAAGAGAAAGGATTGTGGCTATGACAAATGATACATATTGATGGCAATCTGAGACAGATATTCCTATACAGATTCTACAAACGAGCAAGACTAAGGAAAAAATGTTTCCCAGGAGACATAGCTTCAACAGACAAAAAATCTACAAATCTGAACACAAAGTGAGGTGCACATCTTCAATGTACATACACAGTTTGAATACCGGTACTCTGAAAATGGACCAAATATCACCACCTGAAAGACTAAATCAAGGATCCTGTTGAAAATTGACCAAGTTCATGTATCACCTCCTGAAAAACCAATATTCTCTAAATGTGTCCACAAATTAAGGTGCATGTCTTAAATGCATATATACAATCATTCCTGAAAACTAATGGGCCATGCTTTGAAAACTGTAGGAGTTGATAACACAATGCAGGTAACCTATTTGCCATATCAGTCCAAACCCCACCAGCAATCTCCTTACTATAAACTGCATTTGCCCATAGGACACATCAGCTAGAAAGTAGCATTAGTTTTAATATATTTCTGCAAATTAATTCTCCATCTTCTTGATTATAGTATGTAAAAATATGATTTCAGCTCAGAAGTTAAAATCAAAGACCTTGGTAGCTCTAGGGGGAAAGATGGCCATTGTACCATTGATGTCAATTTTTTGTCCCATAATAATTGAACTCCATAAGAATTCTTTATCACAGCACCCCATCATAAGCATATATGAAAAAAAAGCAAGGCTACATATCCTTATGCCTGTTTTATGTGGATAGAATGATTTTTTTAAAATACCTTACAAAAAAGTCAACACCATTTGTTAAATTTATACATAAAATGTAAGCTATAATTCCAGTATCAACTTCCTATACCAAACACTACCATATTTTTCTAGTTATCCGCCCAAGTATCAAAATTCTGGAAACTTTGGCATAGACAACTCTTAATAATGTGTTAATTAATTTTTATGATCTGTGATGCATGAAGAGTTCAATGGAAATTGATTTTTTGCTTTTTGGATCCAATGAGGATCATGCCTTTAGTAATGCATGAAAATTCCTATGGAAAAGTTTGTATATGAACCCTGTTAACAATCATTCCATACATGTATGAAATATAGTTGACATACTGCTTATAGTATCTGAGAAAAACAAACATAACCATGAAAAATCAACATTGACCAATGAACCATGAAAAAGAGGTCAAGGTCAGATAAACCCTGCCAGACAGTCGTGTACGCCTTACAATCATTCAATTCACTAAAGACAGTTGACCTATTGCATACAGTATCTGATAAACTGACAAAACGGTGAAAATTTAACATTGACTAATGAACCATGAAACTAATGCCAAGCTCAGATGAAACCTGCCAGACAGACCTTGCAATCATTCCATACACTAAATATTATGGCCCTATTGCTTATAGTATCTCAGAAATAGACCAATCCACAAAAACTTGTCCAATGAACCATGAAAATGAGGTC